ACATAAAGAAAACTCTAAAGAATGCCCAAAGAAGGATAAGGTGAAAGAGGAACCCATATCCCAAGGCTGTTGTTTATCTCTTACTGACAAAATTGTGTTTGCAAAGAATGGAAGTCAGTGGGTTACCTGGGCCAGAGCTGGTTCTGAGGCCCCAGGGTAGCGGAAAGCAAACCTCTGTGGTATAAATGAGCTGCAGCTGATGAGCAGGCCCACAGCAATTGTCTTGCCCCACTGTAAGTGGGAGGTCTGAATGTGCAATATCTCTGTTGAGAGGGCCCTGGGAAGGTGACCATTGGGCCCAGTCACTGAGGTACTGCTCACTCTAGGTGTGGGGTTGGGGCGTTGTACCCCTAGATGTCTTTGCATATCCACACCACTGGTCAACCATGCAACAGTAGCAATAACAAGCAAAACACTATACATTGCCCACTAGGACCAGGAAGAAAAGCCCCTTCTCCCAGCAGTATCTTTCCATTGCCTTCTCCTTACAAAGCTTAATATTGTGATCACTGAAAAAGAAAATGCTTGAGTCCATCTGGTTCTCATAGAGCATGTACGCAGTGGATTTGGAGTGGAGAGGCAATTAATGGATAACTGGCACATAATTTGACTGCTAAAACTCAGAGCCTTTCGCCTATGTCTGACTTATAATTGAAAAATAAATAAATAAAATCAGACCCTGATGTCTTGGAACTGGTCTGGCTCTCACAGATAGGCCTCACTGTTATTACAAACTGATGTGATATGCAAAACTAAGCAATGTTGTTCTCCTGCAGGGAATAAGCGGTCTCACAAGAATAGCAAGCAAGACCACTGTGTACCCTACAAAATACCAGACCTCTTCCTCATTAAATTAGTATGCTACTTGCTCACCAATTTGTGTGTGTGTGTGTGTGTGTGTTGCATATTAAACCCAGGGCCTCATGCTAGGCAAGCACTCTACCATTGAGCTTCATCTCCAACCCAAGTTATAGCTTTATACTCACTTTAGTCTTTGCTCCTTATCAATCAGATTTATTGAGATACCTAGTCATAGAATTGGCTTGATTTCTGGCAGCTCCCAATCCAAAGCAAATCTGTTTCCTTAGATGCTCCCAAAAATTATCCAGCTAAATCTCAAATGCTCCCCAAAATTATCCAGCTAAATCCCAAATTTTATAATAGACTTTTTTCCTTTATTAAGATATTCTCAAGTTTGCATTCTCCCTCTCTGCAGTGAGCAAGAAACCCAAACAGTTTGTTCAGGTACAGGTGTGTTCCTTGGTTTGTTTGTTTTTGTTTTTTTTCACTGAAGGGCATTGGTAGAAGAAATGATAAGTATTTTTTCTTCTGCATTTTTGTTGTTTTCTTTTGGTGGTACTAGGGATTGAACCCAGAGCCTTATTCATGCTAGGCAAATACTCCACCACTGAGCTACATCCCCAGCTTTTTTTTATTTTTTATTTTGATACAGGGTCTCAATAAGTTGCCCAAGCTGACCTCAAACTTGTGATCATCCTGCCTCAACCACTTAAGTAGCTGGAATTACAAGTGTGTGCCACCTTGCCCAGTTTATGTCTATGTATGTGTTTGAAGAAGCTAGTTGCATTACCAACATTGACTTTTTTCCTTAAGGAAGTGACTCTCTTAGAAATTTAACAGTATTAAAAAAAAAAACTCTGATAATAGTTTATTTTTTAAAACTATTTTTGCAGAAATAAAACTCCATAAAACCCACAGTTAAACTGTTAGCAGTTTTTAATACTTAGCAAATATGGACAAAACATTTATTTTTATGATAGCTTTTCCTACAGAAGACATACCATATATTTTGAATGTGGTCAAGACATAAGCAATTTTAATGAAATGAATATGAAGTCGTTTTCTTATTTTTGAGAGATTCTGTTCTCTGCATACTTAAGGAGTGACATGTAGAATAAATCTTCCTGATGGGGGTGACACTGAGCTTCTTAATTCTCTACTTACTTCCAGAAAGCTGAAGAAGCTTCCAAGAGTCCTTTCCCCACTCTGAAAGGCTTTAACAAGCCTGCATTAATATATCATTGCTAAAATCTTTACATTTTTAATATAGTAGAGGTAAATGTTAAAATGTGATTTTTGTTTTTAAACAGAACTCTGATCCCTGTAAGGTCTACTTATGTATAGTTAGAATGAGTCACTTGGTTCTCTGCATGATAAACAACCACTATGGCTTAGTAAATGGATATGTTTTCTTATAATGTGCCTGGGCATACCTGTAATTAACTGAATGTTAATGTGAATGTTCCAAGAAATGTGATTTTTTTAGTGAATATTTTGTTGTCTGAGGAGTTACCATTTTCTCTCCCTAAAAAATTAATAATTCTTTAATCTTGTGGGCAAAAATCTAAGCAAGTCTACATAAGTTATATCCTAACAAAATTATATATTCTTATCCTTTTATTTCATTGATTAAACTTTTTAAACTTCTACTATAGGCAGCATTATGTTGTACTAAGTACTGAAGTTATAAAAATAAGAAAGCCCCCAATCCTTGGTTGAAATGGATGGCCACAGAATAGATCCTAAGTTTTTCTGGATTTGATTGTCTTATGGTTAATTACTTGCCCATCTTCCTGCTTCTCATTTTTTGGTTTTGTTTTAGGACTCTGTTGGGCGTAAAGAGAAGAAGAGTACAACATTTAGTAGCATCAGTAAATTTGGACAATAAATTTAGTTAGCACTGGCTAAGTGCTTTGTGGGCAAGATATGAGATAAGACAAATACTGCTCTTCTCAGAGGGAACCCACAGTAAAGAGATGGTACATGGGTCAAGTGGCCATGGAATCCTGTGATAGAGCACAAGTAGAGTTAGTTCTTCCTAGAGTATAATTTCTAAACCTAGGGGTTATCAAGCAGACTTCATGGATTTCAAATCAGCTTTCCATCCACTCCCCCACTCATCTAATAAAAGACCCTTGTCACTACACTTCAAACATCTACCCAGTTAAGTAGAGTAGTAAGTGACTGATGTCCTTTGACTACCATTCGCCTTACCTCCACAGAGTACCAGCTATCTAAGCCTGACTTTTTTTATGGGCATCAAATGATGGTGTGTGTCTGTCTTTCCAAGCCACATAATTAAGTCAGCTCTTTGTGCTCATATGACTGACCCAAACCCTTCAGGTCATCTGGTGTTTCTTTTAGAAGTATTTATATAAAGAAGGTTTCATCTAGAATGTTAGTTTTTATAATGAATCAAATAAGGATTATGGACTGCTAATGGTTTACTACCAAAATCCTATTGTAGACTATTAAAGGTAGTCATTTGAAATTTATAAAATAACACAAGAAAAATTTTGTATATGCTTGTTAAATGTTTGACAAGATAATGTGAACAAGTAGCATCTGATCATTTTCCTTAACCTTTTAAAATTAAGACTTCCCTGAAGTCTTCCTCCCTAGGGCTTTACTGTATTTTTGCAGCATGAATTCGTGAGGTATTTATTACAAGTCCACGGTCCTTATCTTTAATTCTCAAATCCAAGAAATTCTGAAAACCAAATGTTCTTTGTGTAAGTTACTTAACAGAAAAGCCAAACCTGAACTAAAATAGCCCTATTTATATGTGATTTTTTTTTTTTTTTGCCCTATTGTAGAACATTTGTTGGTTCACTGCAAAAATATTAATGTATTTTGTTCCAGGGTACTGCCCTCAGTAGTTCATGCATATGATCTACACACTGTGTTATCTTTCTAAATTTAAGAAAGCAAAAATCTGGATTCCAAAACATGTCTGCTGCAGTCAGGCACAGTGGCACACATCTGAAATATCACCAACTAGAAGCTGAGGATTGCAAGTTTAAGGCCAACCTGAGCAACTTGGCCAAACCCTGTCTCAGAATAAAAAGGGATGGAAGTGTAGCTCAGTGGTAAAGTGCCCCTGGGTTCAAACCTCAGGACCAAAAAGCAAAACAAAACAGGTGTGGTGGCACATGCCTGTAATCCCAGCAGCTCAGGAGGCTGAGACAAGAAGATCATGAGTTCAGAGCCAGCTAAGCAACTCAGCGAGACCCTGTGTCTAAATAAAATACAAAATAGGACTGGGGATGTGGCTCAGTGGTTGAGTGCTCCTGAGTTCAATCCCTAGTACAAAAAAAAAAAAGTCTACCTCTAAGGGTTTAAATAGGGATTGTGGGCATATGTAAATATAAATTATCTATGGCAGAGTGGTTTAAGAGGGCACTTTAGTATTGTGAATAGTTTTTAATTTTGATAAGCTAATTCATGTAAACAAAACACAGTTACAACAACAGAACACCTTTAATTATCTTGTAACTCACTTTATGCCTACATATGATGGTTCTGTAGTTATAGGTTTAAATATAGGAAATGTGACTATGATTGTATATCTGTTTCATTTTATGTGCCCACAAATGAGGGCTAACAGAATATAATCAGCTTACCAAAGGCTATCACCATGATCATATGTATAAGAAAAAAATGAGCTTCTGATTGCAGATTATATGAGTATGCATATAATCAAAAGTGTTCCATGGTAATATAATTTGTACATTTTCAGTGGAATAAGTACCACTGAATATAATAAAGAGCAATTATATTAGTTCTTGATTTTTCCACATTTTAAGGGAATGTAGAGTCCCATACCAGTGAAGCAAGGAGTGTTCCAGGAACAGTACCATATACCTGTAATCCTAGCACCTTGAGAGGCTCAGGCAGAAAGATCCCAAGTTTGAGGCCAGCCTCAGCAACTTAACAAGACCCTGTCTCAAAAAAATAGAAAGGACTGGGGATATAGCTCAGTGGTAAAGCTCCCCTGGGTTCAATGCCCAGTACCAAAAAAAAAGGAGTGTGATGATGTTTTCCACCTGCCCACACCCACTTTGGAGGAATAAAACTGACCTATTTTCTGTATAATCATAAATTTTAACAGATTTTTTCTGATATTTTCAAGCTTAATAAGGCAATTGTATTTTTACTTGGATTTTTCTTTTCTTCCATTTTTTCCTTCTTCTGTGCAGATTATCAACGCCTGATGACTGTGGCAGAAGGCATCACCACACTTTTGTTCCCATTTCAGTGGCAGCATGTTTATGTGCCCATCCTTCCTGCTTCTCTGCTACATTTTCTTGATGCTCCTGTACCTTATCTGATGGGTCTTCAGTCAAAAGAAGGAACTGACCGTTCTAAACTAGAACTTCCTCAAGAGGTAAAACTTTTTTGATGAATGATGAAATTTGCTGTTTGTTGATTTAGGTCAAGGCTACTTTTGTTAAATAGCATTGTCTTCATCCGATTTTATCTCTCTGGCTCTCCTTAATCTCCCAAGTATGGCTAAGGTAGAACCTGAGCCACAGAATGCAGACCATGATCTGATGATTACTACATGATAGCCATTAATTAAACATAGTTCAAAACAGAACACTGGCGTATTTTTACACCTATAAATGTTTGAAAATGGAGCAATAGTAGTCATAATCATCATTGATTTATTCTAATAACATTCATTTCTTTTCCATACTTGTTACAAATTTTATTTTTAAATGACACATCCCAGATCTGACATCCTTTAAAATTGTATTAACTGAGGTGAATTTGACTTTTTACCTCCCATCAAATAAAAAATAACATCTTTTAGCAAACTGGAAAATGGAAACATAAAATGCTTTATTCTCTGTTTGCAGTCATAAGGCCAATTATCAACCTGTTCCAAATATTAACTTAGCTTTGTCAGCTAGACTAAAATTTTAAGCCCTAGCTTTTTGCCACCTTAATATTACTATCTTTCCAGTGTGCTTTGTTTTGAAATGTTGTTTGAGAGGAAAAATAAGCAAGAATTCTTGAAAGCATTTTGAATCTAATTTTTGGCTGTTGATAATGATACTTAGAATTGTACTATAAAGCTTTTGAAATGAAATATTGATGAGAATGCCATGGCCTATTAAAAAACACAAAATGGTTAATTACATTATATTATTAGCTATTTAATTAGCACCTTTCTTAATACAGTCTCTCATGCTGAGTTTCACTTTTATTTGTTCTTATTTCCTGTAGAGATTCTCATTTTAATAAGTGAGTTTAAAATAACACACTAAGCCATAGCCATTATACCTAGTAATGATTCCCATAATCATCCACTGCTGACTTTTATTCTAAGGAATGTTTCCTTACCAAAATTAACATTTTTGTTCAAGAGAAAATAACTTCAGGTCATATAAAATATATGGGCAAGTTTCCTTGTTCTTCTGGGACTTGCTCATGTTCTCCTCTTTCTGCTTCTTATTTTACATCTTTATTCCCTGAATTTTCTTATTTTCTCTTTCATGGAACTAATCTAGAATATCATTGTTTGAAGAAGTAAATCCCTTAAATTTTCAAGAAAAAATGTGTTTTTATTTTAAAGACTTAAAAAGAGGGCTGGGGTTGTAGCTCAGTGGTTGAGCGTTTGCCTCGCATTGCATGAGGCACTGGGTTCGATCCTCAGCACCACATAAAAATGAATAAATAAAAACAAAAATATTGTGTCCATCTACAATAAAAAAACATTAAAAAAAAAAAAAAAACATCTGGGCATGGTAGCACATGCACTTAATTCCAGCTCTCAGGAGGCTGAGGCAGGAGTATTACAAGTCTGAGGCCAGCCTGGGCAATTTGGCAAGACCTTGTCTCAAAATAAAAAGTTATTTTTTTCCTGAGCACAGTGGTGCACACCTGTATTTTAGTGGCTCCAGAGGCAGAGATGGGGAGGATCAAGAGTTCAGAACCAGCCTCAGCAGTGTCGAGGTGCTAAGCAACTCAGTGAGACCCTGTCTCTAAATAAAATACAATAGGGCTGGGGATGTGACTCAGTGGTTAAGCACCCCTAGGTTCAACCCCCAGTACCAAAATAATAAAATAATAAATATATATATTTTGGTACCAGAGATTGAACTCAGGGGCGCTCAACCACTGAGCCACATCCCCAGCCGTTTTTTATATTTTATTTTGAGACAGGGTCTCACCAAGTTGCTTGGGGCCTCACTAAATTGCTCCTGCCTCAACCTCGTAAGCTACTGGGATTGCATGTGTGCACTACCACACTCGGCTCAAAATAAAATTTTAAAAAAGGAGCTTGTATTGTAGCTCACAGGCAGAAGTCTTCTGTGTTCAATGCCTAGAACCAACACCCAAAAATAGACTTAGGGTTGCGGTGTAGCTTGTATGCAAGGCCCTAGCTTTGATCCTTAGTACTGGGGTTGGGGGGCGAGGATTTAACAAGACATTTAGTTTCTTGTTGAGTATCTGATCTATTTTGTACATTAAACAAATTAAATTTTTTTTTGTACCAAGGATTGAGCCACATTCCCAGCCCTATTTTGTATTATTTATTTAGAGACATGTTGCTGAGTTGCTTAGCGCCTCTCTTCTTGCTGAGGCTGGCTTTGAACTCGCTTTCCTCCTATTTTAGCCCCCCAAGCCACTGAGATTACAGGCGTGCGCCACCGCACCTGGCTGGCAAATTATATTCTTAAGGCAGTTTATTTAGTATGTAAAAGTTGTCTTTCCATTTTACATAAGTAATTATTGACAAATTTTTAAATGCCACCTTGGTATAGATGTAATTGGGAAATTTTTCTATGTCTACATGTATCCTCTGACTAAAGATAAGTTAAAAATTGCAAAAGCCTTCATAATGATCACTGGGATTTTCTAATTTTTCACTCACAAGTTGAATTCTACTTTTATTTTAGTTTAGTTTAGTTTTTTTTAGATTTTAGGGTCAGTTTGTTTGATTGGATGATTGGTTTGCAGTGTTGGGAATTAAAACCAGGCCCTCTTATAAATGCTAAGCAAGTGCTTTACCATTGGGTCATAACCTTAGCCCTCAACACTATTAATAAATACATATACCCATCTATTAATAGAATAGTATGAAATTACCTGAATTAGCTGTTAAAAAAAATAACAGTGTTTCTATATAGAAACTATAAATTAGATGCACCATTGTTCTGGAAGAAAAGGCTAACAGTGTATTACTTCATTCTGGTATCATTTTACAATGAGATGAATATCTGCCTCACATGATTTTGGGGAGAGGAAGTAGTATAAAAATAGCCATTTTAGGGGCTGGGTTGTGGCTCAGTGGTAGAGCACTTGCCTAGCATGCGTGAGTCACTGGGTTTGATCCCCAGCACCACATAAAAATAAAATAAAATAAAGGTATTGTGTCCATCTACAACTTTAAAAAAAAATAGCCATTTTTAAAAACGACTTAAAGGGACTGGGGCTATATCTCAATTGGTAGACTGCCTGCCTCACATGCACAAGGCCTTGGGTTCAATCCCCAGCACCACCAAAAAAAAAAAAAAAAAAAGGTGACTTAAGTGCACTCACTATTCATACTTCTCGCCCTCTTCCCAAAAAACTGTATAAATAAAATAATGGCTAAAAATAGTGATAAAGCTTGCAAAAATGCTAAGTGTACAAAAATGAGTTTTTCAAGAAGGTATGATTTTAGTTGTTAGGTAACTAATGTAACTACATAAACTTATAATTAACAACCCACTCCATTTCCCCATGACTCCAAAATGATAGGCACAAGTAGCCATTTGTTATATAATTTTTTAGGGAGCGGGGTGGGAAAGTGAGTGTTCAAGAATGTAACTCTGAAAATTAACTGCATAGAATGTTACCTCACTTTTAACTGTTTTTGCTCGTCTTCAAAGTGATAGACAAAAATAAAAACTGAGAACAGAATTGCTTTTGCCACCTTGTTTTTGTTGTACCTTGCCTTGAGATTCTGAGGGAATATTTTATTTATTTATTTATTTTTATTTTCTTATTTGTGGTGCTGGGGATCAAACCCAGGGCCTCATTCATGCTAGGCAGGCTCTCTTCCATTGAGCTATATTCTCAGGGGAGAAAATTTTAAATGATCTCCTCTGGCTTATCCTCATGACATCTTAATTTCAGACACTCAGAACCTAGATCACTTATAAATAAACCTGAGGAAAGCTTCTCCCGGCTCACATTCCTAAGTATTTACTGCTCCTGCCTACGTGTGTGTGTGTGTGTGTGTGTGTGTGTGTGTGTGGTGCTGAGGATCAAACCCAGGGCTTTGTGCATGTGAGGTAAGCACTCTATCAACTGAGCTATGTCCCCAGCCCCCATGCCTACCTCTTTGGTGTTCCCTCAAGTGACGATCACCTGAGGGTTTCAACAGACACTATTTGTGTAGAATTGTAGGGGGCTTCAAGATAAACGAGGTGATTTCAGCTTTCCAAAACAATAAGAAAAAAATTTAAGTATCAATAACACAGGTTAGTCAATTTCTTCTCCAAGATATCTGCTTCTTCCCTTGAGACCATCTTTCCCCACCCTTCTAATAAACTTTGCTGTACTTTTACTTAAGATAAAACAACAACAAAAACACACAGGCAGGTTAAATAAATACTCAGGAATAAATGAACTAAGAATATATAGAGGAGATCGGGATGCTTCTACTTACAGAAGAAATAATTAAGCTTCAATTATTTGACCTTTTACTTTTTTTTATTTATTTTTAGTTGTAGTTGGACACAATACCTTTATTTTATTTATTTATTTTTATGTGGTGCTGAGGATCGAACCCAGGGCCTCACACATGCTAGGCGAGTGTTCTACCACTGAGCCACAACCCCAGCCCTGACCTTTTACTTTTGAGGGAACTTTTTTCACTTTTAATTTGAGTTAATTACATATCATGAAGATTTATGGGTTATGTTGATCAGTAGATATACAAAGTACTTAGTCCCCAAACAGTGTCAAATTGAGGTTTGAGTCTGTTTTTTATCATGTATGTAATACTTCTTGAGCTTTCCTAATAGAATTTTTTAAAATTTAATGGTATTAAGAGAGAAGAAACAACTTGTCAAATTATTTAGTGGGATTCATATTTGTTTTAGAAAAAATAACTGTTTTCTTCAATAATTTTTAATAACACAAATTTGTATTTCCTATTTCTACTTTGGGATAATAATCCCAAAGGGCCTTCTGGGCCCTTCCAAGCAGGTGTAGGGGAGGGCATGGGAGACTTCTGTGGGAGCATGAAGACTGGCTAGTCTCTGTTGCCGGAACTCCCACCGGCACAACACACTCAGTTCAGCACTGATACCGTGAGCATAATAAGCTTTAAATTTTATGTCAGAAAATGTTTTATTCTCTCTCTTTATGGGAGGAGGAGAGGAATGGAAAAGGATAGTTAGAGGGCATTAATGAAGGAGATAGTATAAAATAAAAAAGAAAGGTTACTGGTTAACACTTAGCAAGTTATTGAATTTTTTTCTTCCATTTTTAAAGATATTGAATCATCTGTTTGAATATGGTGACCTACTTTCTGCCTCTAAGTCTTTCAGTGTATCCTACTTTCAAGAAATGGAAGACACACACATAAAGATGTGGATTTAAAGAAAGTTGTAGGAAGCACTACTGTCTTCAGCAAGATCTGACATTTCAGCTCTTTATTTAGAGAAATCTACTGACATTGGAGATGAGGGGAAAAAAAATAATCACAAAGCACCCCCAGGCTGTTTTGAGGATGCATATTTGGAGCAGGTGCCAGGAAGTTACCCAAGTTCTTGGGCCTCAATTTTTTCATCTGCAAAATTGAAGGACTGGATTATAAAGGTTATATTAGGCTCTAGTTTTATTATTTAGTTTTGTATAGAAGTAGGAAATCTTGGGGGTTTATTGAGCTTAATTTGAAATGTCACTATACTTTTAGCTTTCTGTCCTCTCACATGAAAAAAAAAAAAAGGATTAAAATGGAAAAAGGGGAGACTGTGGCTCAGTGGTAGAGCACTTGACTGGCACATGTGAGGCACTGGGTTCGATTCTCAGCACCATATAAAAATAAATAAGTAATAAGAAAAAATAAAGGTATTTGTGTCAATCTACAACCAAAAAAAAAAAAGAGAGAGAGAGAAGAAAAAGGGGGCTGGGGTTGTGGCTCAGCTGTGGACCACTTGCCTAGCATGTGCGAGGCCCTGGGTTTGATCCTCAGCACCACATAAAAATAAATAAAATAAAGGTATTGTGTCCAACTACAACTAAAAAATAAATATTAAAAAAGGGGAGGGGGGAGGACCCAACTATTTACTTACCCTTTTATCTAACCTTGCCATGTGGGATCAGAAGACAGTAAGAATTCTCTCCTTGGTTACCTAATGGGAAAGGAGAAAACTCAACTCAAGATGAAGCTTCCTGTTTTGTTTGCTTACACATATTCTGTGTTCAATTGTTGATGTAATTGGAATCAGTTTTATGTGATGAGCTACATCTTTGGTGCCCTTGCTTTCCCCACTTCTCTCTACTCCCCCCCAATTCTAGGAGCTCAGTCATCTTTTTCATTGATAACCTCATTATGATCAAGAAAGTATGGGACAGTAAAGGTAAAAAATACTGTTTACCAGGTCCCCAAGGGGATAATCAGGATTTTATTCAGGTATTTGGCCTCTTGAATTTACTGTATCTATTTGAAAAATGTTTATATATATTAAAAGCCTTTTAGTCGAAATAAATTTCAAATCTAGAGTATAAGCAAACAGAATACATTTCTTCTTATTTCTCATGAGTCAAATTATTTAATTAATCACTGGTTATCCAAGCACTTGCTTCTCCCACCTCTTTCTGCTTCCTGCTTTTATTGTGTGTGTGTGACCAGGAATTGAACCTAGGAATGCTTAACCACCGAGCCACATCCTCAACCCTTTTTTTTTTTTAATTACAGACAAGGTCTTGCTGAGTTGCTTAGGGCTTCACTAAGTTGCTGAGGCTGGGTTTGAACTAGCAATCCTCCTGTGTCAGCCTCCCAATTCATGGGGATATAGGCATGTGCTACCACACCTAGCTGCTTCCTGCTTGTTTGGTGCCCTAAATATATATAAATATATATATAAATATATATTTAGTTGTAGATGGACACAATACTTTTATTTGTTTATTTCCATGTGGTGCTGGGGATCGAACCCAGTGCCTCACGCATGCTAGGCAAGCGCTCTACCACTGAGCCACAACCCTGTCCCTGCTTCCTGCTTTTTTGTCTAATGACCTCTAAAATGATTTTGCTGTTCTGCAAAGTTCAGCTAATTTTGTTAAAGTGAAAATTTGTGGGTTATCTGTGAATTGCATTGAACTTTGCCAGTTTCATCCATTTGTGGGTACTAGAACTCTAATTTTTAGCAATTATTGTGTATTCTAAATTATAGATGTTGTTTAAGCAATGGAATAATGACAAAGAATGATAAAGCTCATTATGAGCATTTTACTCAATAATGTTCATGTGCAGGATCATGCAACTCTGGGTCCCTTTACCCATTTAGGAATGCCTGATCAATGCCAAATATTAGAGATTCATGTCAGATTATAGTAAATTGTTGAGACCCAGAGAAAATTATTCATGAATAAATATTATGAAATTATTATAAAATATTATTATGAAAATATTATTAAATATGGTATGCAAATACTTACCTAGGGAAAAATGCTGGCAAAAGAAATTATTTTTTAAAGAATAATAATTTCAGGGGATGGGGTTGTAGCTCAGTGTAGGTGGTAGCAAATGTGCTTAGTGATCCTGAGTTCAATCCCCAGCACCACAAAAAATTGAACCTTGAAATGGTTAACATAAAAGACATTGTAAAAAAAAAATAATAATCTAGGTGTAGTAATACATGCCTGTAATCCCAGCTATTCAGGAAGCTGAGGTAGATGGGTTACACGTTCAAGGTCAGCCTGGACAACTAGTGAGACCCTGTCTGGGGAGAAGGAAAAAAAAAAGGTCGAGATATATAGCTCAATGGCAGAGTGCCCGTGGGTTCGATACCCAGTACCTAAAAATAATACTAATAATAATAAGGGGAAAAAGTAAGAATTTAAAAAACCAAATGCAGCATAATCTGTGCTTTTCTTTATAATAGTTGGCAAGAGTATTTCTGGATATAAAATTTAACCTTTGTATTCCTTTTTTCTATTTCAGGCTAATTTGTGCTTTGTGGACATTGACAACCATTTTATTGAATTGCCCGAAGAATTTCCACAGTTCCCCAATAAAGTGGATTTTATCCAGGAGCTCTCTGAAGTTCTTCTTCAATTTGGGATTCCTCCTGAGGGCAGCTTACATTGCAGTGAGAGTGCCACCAAACTGAAGAATCTGGTTCTGAAAGATTTGGTCAATGACAAGAAGAATGGCAATGTCTCCACTAATAATATCAGCATGTATGAGTTATTGAAGGGCAATGAAACCATAGCCCGCTTGCAGGCTCTGGCCAAGAGGACTGGTGTGACTGTGGAAAAAATGGACCTGTCTGCTTCTCTGGGTGAAAAAGAAAAGGATTTAAAACTGCAGTGTGAAGAGGCAGAACTGAGGGACTACCAGCTGAATGTACAGCTGAGAGAGGTCTTTGCTAACCGCTTTACACAGATGTTTGCTGATTATGAAGCATTTGTGATTCAAACTGCCCAGGACATGGAATCCTGGCTGACCAACCGGGAACAGATGCAGAACTTTGACAAAGTAAAAGAGCCATAGTTTTCCTTCTTTATGGTTCTTAGTTGATTACATTACTTGATTTTGTTAACTTTTTTTAAACACAAAATTTTCCCCTCTCCTGTCCCACTAAGCACTTTCTGTCACCAATATTTTACACTAATTTTACAAAAAGGCAAACCAACCAGCTTATAAGACTGGCTGTTAAATAACCTATAATCTCAATTTAAAATTTTCTGTACTTTGACAATGCTTAAATTATAGAAACTTTTTTGAGGGGTAGGAGTTAACCAGGGATTGAATTCAGGGGCACTTAATCTCTAAGCCACATCCCCAGTCCTTTTTATTTTTTATTTTAAGATAGGGTCTTGCTAAGTTGCACAGGGTCTCACTGAGTTGCTGAGGCTGGCTTTGAACTAGTGATCCCTCCTGCCTTAATCTCCTGAGTCACTGGGATTACAGGCATGTGCTACTGCATCCAGGTAAATTATAGAAACTCCAAACAGCTTTTTCAAATCTGTTAATACTGCCTGACCTTGTAAGGCTTTTGTTTACCCTTATGACCAAATCTAGTCAAATGAAGGCTATTCCTTTATAAAGAAATCTTAATTCTCTCTTTTTTTTAAGATGGACACAATACTTGTATTCTTTTTATTTATATGTGATGCTAAGAATTGAACCCAGGGCCTCACATATGCTAGGCAAATGCTCTACCACTGAGCCACAACCCCAGCCCAAGAAATCCCAGTTCTTATATTTAACCTTCATCCTTTAATGGGATCATAATGTGTCCATATAAAGGTAACAAATAATTTAGTTTCAAAAGGCAATTTTTTTTTCATTTTAGGATCATAAGAGATAAAGAGTGAACAAATCAGGTTTTATGACTGTTAGTCTAAGACTATTCCAAAGTTTTGGGGAAAGAAAGACAAAAAATGACACTTGCTTTTGATTCTCCTATTGAAGCTTTTTCCCTAAGGTTTACTGTATTCTTCTACCAGATTTTCTTTACATATTCCTCAGACTTTTTTTTTTCCTCCCCCAGACAAAAGCACTTAGAGATGTGCATTAACTCCTTTAAGTCACTAGGGTATAGTTCAGGCCCCTGCCTGTGTGATTGCTGAGGCATAATAATGCTATAAAAATGAATCATGGTGTTCACTCACTAAGTGGAATCTTTTGGTCATGAAAGACCTCCCACAGGGGCTAATGCACTCTAAGAGGCTAATGTACAGCCTTGTAGCATCTGACAAGTAAGTATTAACTAAAATTTTGTGTAAACACAGGTAGAATGGAATATTTTCTGATTTCATCAATTTTTTTTTTTCCTGATGGAGAATAATATGCCAGGAATGTCAGAATTTGCTGATTTACTCCATTTCATTAAACTTTTGGGGTGAGGTGAAGGTGGCAGGGTTTGAGCTTGCTAGGTAAGCATTCAACCACTGAGCTACATCACTAGCCCTTTTTTCTTATTTTGAGAAGCCAGGGTTTTGTAAAATAGCCTGGGTTGGCTTTAAATTTGTGAATCAATCTCGCCTCTGCCTCCCAGCTAGTTGAGATTAATAGGCATGCATCACCTTACCCAGTTTGCTTAAACTCTGTAATTTAAGAAATTTTACTTCTTCAAATGTATTCCTACTCTTAGACTCCTTTCTCATTTACCATAACTTTTTTCCTATACTTTTTCCTATCTAGCCTGGAACTAATCTGTGTTACATTCATAATTTATCCTTGGGGCAATTCAAATTCTTAAATCAAGCTCTGGTACTTTCTTCCTTCTTTTTTATTTTTTAATTTTTTTACTTTCTTCTTTCTTAAGTTTTATGTCGCTTCAATCTAGAAGTGAGATTGCCTTTATATTACCCCTAAGAAGTGAAAGTTTCATGTTGCACTCCAGAAGGCTAGTATGTAAGACATATTAGCTCTGCAACCCAAGTCTTTTTTTTCCCCACCTTAAGTATTGTATGTAGTCTATGATGTCTGAAACTCAAAAGCCAGATACATATGGCTCATTTTATTTTTAAAAAGACTATTTGCCCTATAAAAAGTAAAATTGATGTTTATCTATAAAATGCCTTTTGAGGAGGGCTGGGAATGTAGCTCAGTAGAGTGCTTGCTTCACATGCACAAAGGCCTGGGTTCAGTCCCTGGCAACAACAATAACAAAAAAATGCCTTTTGAGGAATTGAGCTGATTTCTAGAGATACTGTGAATGTTTCTCTAGTCATTCGGATTTATGTAAGTAACATCTGAACTATGGAAGTACAAAGATTGGATATGTACATTTCTATAAGGAAGTATTTAAAGTCCTTGGAAATTTCAGAATGCAAAATATGCTAGAAAGAAGCTGATGAGTATTAAGAATAGTAACCTTAGGCCAGGCATGGTGGTGCATGCCTGTAATCCCAGCTATTTAGGAGGCTGAGAGAGGAGGATTGCAAGTTCAAGGCCAGCCTGGGCAATTTAACAAGACCCTGTGTCAAAATAATTTTTAAAGAAAAAGGCTGGTGATGTAGCTCAGTGGTAAAGTGCTTGCCTAACACATGTGAGGCCCTGGATTCAATCCCAGTACCCCAAAAAAGGGAAAGACAAAGTAACCTTATTTGGAACTTACCCTTTCATCTTTCGCCTTCTGGCTTGTGCCATACTTCATCTACTCAAAAGGAAAGTAAAGCAAAACCAGCCCACTGACTGAAATAGTAATTCACTTCCAAATTTCCCCTAATACCAAACTGAGACTAAAATTCCTAGATGTATATACCTGAAGAATAACAGAAAGAAGTGAATACTTTAGATGAGAAACTGATTACAATTTATTGAACCATTCCACACATTAAACAAGCTAGTAATATGAAAGTGCAGTTTGTTGCATATGTTTTCCAGAAGCTTGCTTATAATGATTTTTCAGGCAATGGTTTTTTTTTTTTTTTTTTTTTTTTTAGTAGTTTAACCCCAGACTGCAACACAGGTCTGCAAGCAGTTTGATTTTGAGTTAAAAGAGTTACAGCCTAAAAAGAATCCACTTGAAAAACAAAAGAATTTCACCCATAAGCACAAATTCTATGTGGTCATTTTAAAAAAATTATTGCTAATATATATCTCATTGCATCAGTTAATCATCTCATTGCCTTATGGGATTGCATAAACTAGGAATAGAAAGGAGAAGAAACTACTCACTGGGGAGAGGGATCAAAATTTAATGGTAAGTGAAGTGGATGATTGACAATTATATAGCAACTTAACCCTCTCTTTTACCAGTGATGCCCTCTTGTCTGCATAATGGTCATTAGGATCAGCATGTAAGAAAGGAATAAAGAGTAGGATTTTAAGGACTTTTTAATTTTATGTGTCAGTTTTATAGTTGTAAGATTAAAAAAGAATAACCTTAGCAACAGATAATTATCCCATGTGTCATGTAGTATTGTGATGGTAATAATTTGCCAATTATTTCATTACAGGCTTCTTTCCTTTCTGACCAACCTGAGCCTTATCTGCCATTTCTTTCACGCTTCATTGAAACACAGATGTTTGCCACCTTTATTGATAACAAAATTATGTCTCAGTGGGAAGAGAAAGATCCTTTGCTTCGAGTCTTTGATTCTCGGATTGAGAAGATAAGATTGTACAATGGAAGGGCACCCACCTTACGGACATCTATATATCAGAAATGCAGCACTTTAAAAGAAGCAGGTACATTTACCTTGCCTTTTAAAATTAAAGTCGATGATTATTTCTTTTTTCGTATTCTTGGTCTAAAATACCACAAAATCCATTTTCTGTCTAAGATACCATGGCTAATCTTGATTATTATACCAAGAAGTGCTTTCTATAGTTTTCTATTTCTGTGATTTCCTGTTCCTGCTTGACAGTCCTCTTCCCTTAGTCAAAAGAAGAAAAAACAATAATAAATTGAATAGTGTATAACCAGGAGGTTCCTGTGGTTTTTTTTTCTTATTCTCTTTATGGCTTTAGTAGAAAAAAATGTAAATTTCTAGCTTGCTATTGATATTGCCTTTTTACATCTCACCTCTTTTGTCTTTTTTCAAGAAAAGGTAAGTATTAATTTAAAATGGCAAATCTGAGATGCTGTCTAATTTGCATAACTAAAATGGTATATTTGCTTTACTAGTACCATTAATTATATAGCTTCATTTATTGAGATTAAATCACTGGATTTTTACATTCAAATTAGAAATTCTTTGATCCCTGACACCAGTTTTTCCCCTCATAGAATTATGAATCTTGGCCAGTTTTGCTTAGCAATTATTAACAGCCAGTGTTTACCTACTATAGACCAAGTGTTTTACATGCATTTTTGCATTGAGCTTAACAACAAGGAGGTATAGGCAAACTTATTTTTTATTTTATTTTATTTCTGTCCTCATTTTATAGCTGAGAAAACTGACATTTAGGAATTTGCCTATAGTTACATAGTTCTTGGTGGAACCATAGTTTGAATCCAGGTTTGGCTGATTCTAGCACCTAAAGCTTTACTCCTTGTTAGTTATTCCAGTTAATGAAAAACTATGTGACAGGGGCTGGGGTTGTGGCTCAGCAGTAGAGCACTTGTCTAGCACATGCAAGGCCCTGGATTAGATACTCAGCACCACATAAAAATAAATAAATAAAATAAAATAAGGGTATTGTGTCCAGCTACAACTAAAAAATAAATATTTTTAAAAAATATGTGACCGGCTGGGCATGGTGGCACATGCCTGTAATCCTGGTGACTTGGGAGGCTGAGGCAGGAGGATCATGAGTTCAAAGCCAGCCTCAGCAAAAGCGAGGTGCTAAGCAATTCAGTAAGAACCTGTCTCTAAATAAAATCCAAAATAGGGCTGGGGATGTGGCTCAGTGGTCAAGTGCCCCTGAGTTCAACCCCTGGTACCACCCCACGCCCCCCAAAAAAAGAAAAAACTGAAATGTACCAATCCATGTAATTTTATACATTTTTGCCTGGTTCCTAACCCATTCTTTGCCAAATAAACAGAAATCTATCACCCGAGTGCCCTTTCCTTTTTATTTTTCCTTTCAAATGTAGGAATTGCTTGAGAGCAAATTTTCTGCCAAAGAAAAGGGAGATAGCAGGGCTGGGGATGTGGCTCAAGCGGTAGCGCGCTCGCCTGGCATGCGTGCGGCCCGGGTTCGATCCTCACCACCACATACAAACAAAGATGTTGTGTCCACCGAAAACTAAAAAATAAATATTAAAATTCTCTCTCTCTCTCTCTCTCTCTCTCTCTCTCTCTCTCTCTCTTTAAAAGAAAAGAAAAGGGAGATAGCAAATGTGGAGCTTCTTTGTCATTCTTGTTATTTGTTTGCCTTTCCCACATTATTTAAATAGATCAGAAGTAGTGATGCTATAGTTTTATCACATTTAAGAAAGGAAGTAGTAAATAATCTTTTATGGTGCCATCAAGGTCTCTGAACCATCACCCTGTTATATTCCCATGTATAAGGGTAGATCCTTGGAAGCCCCTCAGAAAATAGCAATTACCTCTGTGTTCCTAGAAATTGAGGTAGAATGAAATTGTCTGTGCTTATCCAAAGAATATTATGACTTCCATTGTTTTAATAGCCGTGTCAAAATGTAATTATTGAACAAATCTCTTTCTTCTCTTACTGACACAACTTTTAAAATAGGCCTGGGGTTGTGGCTCAGTGGTAGAGTACTTCTCTCATATGTGTGAGGTACTGGGTTTGATCCTCAGCACCACATAAAAATAAATAAATAAAGATAATTGTGTCCACTACAACTAAATATATATAATTTATATATATTTTTTTTAATGGAATTAAGCACCAATTCCTTAATTTATGTCCTTCTAAAAAATCCAATTAAAACAGAATTTCATTAAAATAGAATCTCTCAGAATTTGGCACTCCCACTGTCATCACAGAAATTACGTAAAACTCTTTTGAAAATGTAGTATTGTAGACTTCATATATATGAAAACTAGATTAGGCTGAGGCAGTAGTCTCCCAGGAATTTAATTTATCAGAATTTTTTTTTAAAGGTAAAAGACAGCTGACTATAACTGCTAATCTCTCGTAAATGGTGCAGTTACTTCTTTATCAGGTAAAATTATTCTCATCCCCCAAATTGAGATTGGGGTATTGTTGACATTGATTTTTTATTGGGTATTAAGGTTTCATTCTGTTTTTTGGCTTTGACAGTGTGTGTGTGTGTGTACACGTACATGTGGATACTTTTGCTATTGTTTTGCCTCTAACCAAAAAGAATTTGATTTGCAGGTGAACTCTTTAGGCACAGGCTATCTTCTGTTGATATTGTGGCACCAGAACCTCATGATCTCTGTGCAGAAAGACAAGAAGTGGATAGTAATACAGTTTTTTTTTTTTTTCTTTACCAACCACTGCAAATCAGTATTGGCACAAATCTTTAAAAGTCTAACAACAGAACCTGACCTCTCAAAGCAGGCATTTGATAATTTCTGAATGTTCAGTATTCACTGGCTATATAATCACTGAAAAGTAACATTGCAGAAAGTAACAAAATAGAGCAGGGATGTGGCTCAGTGGTCAAGTGCCCCTGAGTTCAATCCCCGGTACTCCACCACCACCAAAAAAAAAAAAAAAAAAAAAACAGTGCAATTCAAGGTTTTGAATAAATTCATACTTTTTGTGAGGGAAAATTAGAGAAGCTTAAAGTAAATGTCTAATATTTTGAAGTTTAAACAATGGAGAGCAGTAGTTAACTTCAATACAGCATCCCAGTACCACTATAAACACCAGTAATTGGCTTAGGTAGAGCCAGTGGCAATAAGCGTATTATTTTGACAAGAATGCAAAGTGTCATAGATGAATTCCTCTCCAAAAAAAAAGTTTAGAATATGTTTGGGGAATAACCAGCAGGACTCAGTCTACTGGCAATGAAAAGGGGGAAAGTAAATGAATTCTATGAAATACCTTATTAGTTACCTTATTAGTTTTTGTAAGTCACAAGATCAGCAGTTCCCATAGTCTGCTCTAGTTATCACACAGCCACAGTTACTGCATATTATCACTTTTTAGTGATCTCTAATGAAAGGATTGGAGACCTAATCTCTTATATTTTCTCTTGAAGATTCAGTTGATAAAAACACTTAAGATCAGGATTGTCCCAGCTTACTTGGGAGGCTGAGGCAGGAGGATAGCAAGTTTGAATCCAGCCTTGGCAACTTATCAAGACCCTTTTTCAAAATTCAAAAAATGGGCTAGGGTGCTGGGTGGCTCAGTGGTAGAGTGCTCACCTAGCGTGCATGAGGCACTGGGTTCAATCTTCAGTACTACATAAAAATAAAGATATTATGTCCACCTAAAACTAAAAGATACATATTTTTTTAAAATGGGTTAGGGATATAGCTCAGTGGTAGAAAAATCAGGATTTTGTTTGTTTTACCAGTAAAAATAGATTACTTTCTATTTTATGAGTCTTTGAGACTTTCTCCAACACTACTAAATTTAAAGTGTTTCACAACAGTGTTGAATAATTCCTGTCTTTTAATTTTGACCTATTTTAATTCTCCAAAAGGACAATTTCTTATTCTCTGGACATTTTCTAAATGCCTGCTTATTTGACTTCTCTGCTTTACCTTCTTGATCTAATAAACATTCCTAAATCACTCTTACTAATGAAGAATGTGAATGTTGCTAAAAGTGAGGTAATAAACTTCACACAGTTCCTTGTTTTTATTGATGGAGAACCATGAATATTTAATGAGTCTTTACACAAAGAAAGTAACAAGACTACTTACTATACTTGCACCTTCCTTCCCTTTACATTGTCTTTCAGCTCAAGAAAATACTTTATTTGCCAATATTTTCTTTAATGTTGTACCTAGAATCATTTTTGTTAAGCATATTAAATATCCCACTTTAATAAAATTGTTTAAGTACTAAATTACAGATTTTTCAACCCAGCTACCATACTTTTGACAAAGAAAGTAATGAAAATTAATCATCTAATGTTTATTTAAAATTAACCTTTCTATATATATATGTGATATGATTTCTGAAGAGGATTGGTAAAACTGTTTCACAGTGTCAGTATGATTGAATTCTCTATGTGCATGAGTTGAAGAAGCATTATTTTTGAAGGTTTAGCAATAAAATATCTCTAATCTGTTAATATTTAACTTATAGCCCAATCAATTGAGCAAAGACTGATGAAAATGGATCACACTGCAATCCACCCACATCTACTTGATATGAAAATTGGTCAAGGCAAATATGAGCAAGGGTTCTTTCCAAAGTTACAGTCTGATGTCTTGGCAACAGGACCAACCAATAACAAGTAAGCACCTTTTTTAATTAACTAGTTGATGAAAGGTGGGATGTTTTGCAACTCTGATTAAAGCAGCCTGTCACCATTAAACTCTATCTATGTGATGGCTTCTTTTAAAAATCACATTAATCTATTTTGGTGGCTTTTTTTCACCCAAAGAACTGTGTACTAGTGGGCTGGGGTTGTGGCTCAGCAGTAGAGTGCTCGCCTCGCACATGCGAGACCTTGGGTTTGATCCTCAGCACCACATAAAAATAAATAAGTGAAATAAAGAAAGGTATTGTGTCCAACTACAACTAAAAAATAAATATTTTTTTTAAAAGAACAGTGTACTAGTGAATACCTTTTTTTTTTTCTATAAACCCTGGACCACACTTTAAATGTCTGTTTACATATAATGCTAATACAATCTAATGGAATTTTTAAAAGTTGTACCTTTACCATCTAAATATTAGTTTCTTTAGACTGCCATAACAAAATACTACAAATTTAGTGGCTTTCACAGTTCTGGAAGCTAGAAGTCTGAAATCAAGTTTTTGGCAGGATTATTGCCACCTCCCAGGACTCTTAGGGGATGATTATTACTTTCCACACCCTTCTACTCCACCTACCCGCTTACCAGTCCCCCAGGGCTGGGGATTGAACCCAGGGCCTCACACATGCCCGGCAATCACAAAACCAACTGAGCCACAATCCCAGCCCCTCTACCACCTTTTCGTAGCCCCAGTAGCTCCTTGGCTCGTAATAACATAACCCCAGTCTCTGTCTTCTCATGTTCATCTTCTTTCTATGTTTGTATCCATATTTTCCTCCTCTTATAAGGACACCAGTCACATGCAATTGGGGCACTCCTTAATGACCTTATCTTAACTTGATTACATCTGCAAAGACTTATTTCCAAATATAGTCATTTCGTAGGTACCCAGGATTAAGACTTCAGCATACCATTGTGGGGAACATGATTTAGTTCATATACCATCTTTTGGTATCAAGTACAAAAAAATTACAAAGCAAAAATTAAGATAAACCCTATCATTTATGGTAGATGAGACCATTCAGAAAATATCTAAATATAGTTAGAATTTTAAAAAGAAGGCTTGAGGGCTGAGGTTGTGGCTTGGTGGTAGAGCGCTTGCCTAGTATGCGTGAGGCACTGGATTTGATCCCAGGCACAACATTAAAAAAATACATTAAAAATAAATAAATAAATAAAATAAAGGTATTGTGTCCATCTACAACTAAAAAAAGGTTTAAAAAAAAAGAAGAAGAAGGCTTGAGGTATACTCAGTGGTAGAGTACTTGCCTCGTATGTGTGAAACCCTGAGTTTGAGCCTCAGCACTGCCAAAAAAAAAAAAAGAACTGAAAACAATTATAATATTTGGGTTTAGGTAAGTTCTTGATTATAAGTGAATACTATTATTTTATTATCAAGTGAATAATAAGAGGTTTAGAAGAAAGGAAGAAAAGAATATTAATAGATATGCTATAAGTTGGAAAGAGTGAGCATTGAATTGAAATAGCAGTATTAGAATTTACTTCATTTTTTTAATTTTTTATTTGTTTTAATTAGTTATATATGGCAGTAGAATGCACTTGAATACTTTGATATATCATATACATAGTGGGATATAATTTCTCATTCTTCTGAGTATGCTTATTATAGAATCACATTGGTCATACAGTCACATACATACATAAAGTAATGATGTCTGTTTTATTCTACTGTCTTTCTTATCCCCACATCCTCTGCCTTCCCCTTCTTTCACTTCCCTCTACCTAATCTAAGGTAACACTGTTCTTTTTTCTTTTTTTTTTTTTTGCATTACAATTCTTAATACACACATATACGACATGTATCTCTGTTTGTATATAAAGTATGTTGACTTCATTCTTCAGCTTGGGAACCTTGGAGGAACTGAAATTATTTGCCACTTTTCTCATGTGAAAATATTCTATACTTCTACAGCATCTGTGATCTCCTTATTAAAGAGGCTCAGAAAAAAAGTATAAAGGAGCCAAGCAGTGGGAAAAAATGGGATAGAAGACTGAAGTAAAAAACTAGGTACAGCTGGGTGTGGTAGTGCACACCTGTAATCCCCCCTATAATCCCAGCAATTTGGGAGGAAAAGGCAGGAGGATCATAAATTCAAAGCCAACCTCAGCAATTTAGCAAGACCCTCCTCTCAAAATAAAAAGGGTTGGGAATGTGGCTTAGTGTTTGAACCCTGGGTTCAATCCACAGTTCCAGAAAGAAAAAACTAGGTACTCACAATGAAGTGGCACTGCCACCTGAATTTTCAGAAGGCAAGTAGTGAAACAAGGTACTTAAAAGTGTGGTGTTTCTACCTATCAGATGATCTGCTGAGCTGTGTTGCAGAAGTTTTTGTTTTTATTCCCCAAGATGCTTATCATGATTCTATTGGTCAAGAAAGAGGAAAACAGTAAATTATCTTTGTAATGTGTGCTGATAACATTTGGTTTAGATTAATAAATACTGTACCAATGTATGTATTGGAGTATAAGAGATTTATTTGGATGGATGAATATATAGTAATATTTGTTAGAATTTAATATACTATTTCCAAGACAGAAACAAGCGGTCTTAAGTATTTCAGCAATTGTGATCATCAGTGGTAAAATTATACTTACTAACAAATGTTTAATATGGGCTCTGGTTGTGGCTCAGCAGTAGACCGCTCGCCTAGTGTGTGCAAGGTCCTGGGTTCGATCCTTAGCACCACATAAAAATAAATAAAACAAAGGTATTATGTCTAACTACAACTAAAAATTTTTTTTAATATTTTTTTTAAATGCTTAATAATGCAAGGAATGAATAAATTACTTAAGACCAGGAATGTCTGGACTTTATAATAATTTTCTTAAGCAGTGCTTATTTCCCCCATTTTAAAAACAAAGTTAAGTAGGACATTTTTGTCCCTCAGAGCTCATAGTAAGAGCTAGTTATATTATATAGGTTAATCTTTATAATTTTGTTTTCCTAAAGCCTTTTCCACTTTTGCTTACCAAGGAAAATGTTCTACCATTTTCATTTTGCTTCTTCATTTTAAGCTTATTAGCTAGTATTTATATTGTTTCATATTTTTATTTTATTTGGACTACCCTGCCCCCTAGCCCTATTTTTTTTTTTTTTTTCAGTGCTAGAGATCAAACCCAGGGCCTTGCACATGCAAGACAAGTGCTGTACCATTGAGCCACACACTCAGCCCCCTCCCCCAACTTTTTTTTCAATTTTATTTTGAGACAGGATCTTTCTAAATTGCCTGAGCTCGCCTTAAACTTTCAATTCTTCTTCCTCAAACTCCTCAATATCCGAGATTATAGACATATGCTACCACACCCAGTTTAGCCTTAATTGTTTTAATCCCTAAACAAATTTTATTGTCTTAGACTGACCTTTTTTGCTTCAGGGCTATTGTCAAGAACTCTTATGTCAAAGATCTACATCTAGGACTTTATACATTTTGTTTCTTAATATATGTTCATCACTTCCCTTATATTGTATAAATTCAACAGCTATTTATGTGGTTTAGTTGTTCTAAAAATAAGTTTTAGATTTTGTGTTAAAAAAAAAAAAAGATTTTGTGGCTGGGTGCAGTGGCACATGCCTCTAATCCCAGCGGCTCCTGAGACTGAGGCAGGAGGACCATGAGTTCCAAGCCAGCCTCAGCAAAAACTAAGCAACTCAGTGAGATCCTGTGTCTAAATAAAATATAAAATAGGGCAGGGGATGTGGCTCAGTGGTCGAGTGCCCCTGAGTTCAATCCCTTGTACCCGAAAAAAAAAGAATTAGATTTTATGTTACTTTGATCAATTGAGAGGTGGTACTTAGATGAAATGAAAAGTTGTACAATAGTCTTTGAGGGGGATAAGAGATAATTAATAAAGAGCAGACATAATGATTTATGGGAATTCATTTAGGAAATCAACAAACTAATATGAGACTAGGGAATAGGGAAGTAAGGGTAGTTGTTTTAGTTAGCTTTTTCTTTGCTGTGATCAAAAGACCTGACAAGACCAACATAAAAGGAATAAATTTTATTTGGGGCTCATTGTTTCAGAGGTTACAGTCCATAGATGGCTTACTTCTTTGCTCTGGGCCAGAGATAAGGCAGGACATCATGGCAGAAGGGAGTAGTAGAGAAAAGCAGCTCAGTATATGACAATCAGGAAGCAGAAAGAGAGTTCTCTGTTCACTAGGAGAAAAATATAAATCACAAGGGCATGCCCTTAGTGATGTAAGTCCTCCAGCCACACTGACCTGCCAAGAATTACCACCCAGTTAATCAATTAAAATGGATTAATGCACTGATTAGGTTAAGGCTCTCATAAACCAATCATTTCAACTCTAAACTTTTTTCATTGTCTCACAGATGAGCTACATGAGCTTTTAGGGTACGCCTCAAGTGTAAACCATAACAATAGCATTCATTCAGGATTTGAGGCTCCCTCCAGTAGGTTAAATAGAAAGGAAATGATCATTACAGAGGAGAGGGTGTTAGTGTGGAGAAGTTTAGGTGCTTTCCCCAAGGATTTAGGCTCAGAACAGAAAGAAGAGAAAACACAAAAGGGGTTCTACTTGGGAATCAAGGCAAGGAAGAACTAATGTAACAAGAGATGGTAAGATAGTAGAGGTTAAGATTTCTGAGGTGCAAGAGTCTTGGATGGTCACTTGATTTAGTATGATGTTCTGGTTTTGGTTAAATTGGAGTGGGAGCAAAGTTATTTTGATTCAGGGGGCTTTCAGAATTGTAAGGTTAGGTTGTCTCTGTAGTCTTTGTGTTTTCCCTTGTTGGAAAGAAAACTTGGCCATGTTCCAAATTCTTCTCTGAATAAAGATGATTGAGGTAAAAGATTGAGGATGATATAGCTGCGTATTTTGCATTTTATAAACTGATCTATAGTCTTTAGATAGCTAGAGTGGCCACAAAAGTACCTTTGAATAAGGGAAACATTATAATATTTCTTTAAGATGCTCACACCACCCAGAACATGTTAATTGTTAAATCATTACTAACTAAAAGCAAAGGTAATAAAATTAGAGTATTAAAACTGAAATACAATTTGGATACCAGCAATTCAGTACCAGAGGAAACTATTATAGAACTAGCATTAATTTTATTAATAAAGCATTTAGTAACAGAATGAAAATCACTATATTAAAAATTGGTCAGTTGAGGGGAAAGTGACATGAGGTAAGGTCAGAAAGAAAGGCCTGGCTGTTTAATTTTAGAGACCATGGGAAAGAGTTTAGATTTTATTTCCAACGCATTTTTCTGCCCATTTTGGTATTGAGTGTGTGTGTGTGTGTATGTATAGACACACACACATATATAATTTTCCCGAGATATCTGATAAATACAGCCTGCCTTTTCACAGAAACACAGTCATACAATTTTACAGCTATAAGGAATCACAGTGGTCATTTAATCTAACTCTTAGACTTTAGAGATGAGGGCTCACTTCTTATTTCTTGGAATCTTAATTTTAGAAAGCTGTTCCTTTTAAAAAAAAATAAAGGAAAAGAAAAAATTTAAATTAAAAACAAAAAAATAAAAAGGAAGCTATTCCTTTAAAAAGGTTAAATCTCATGAATTTCTTTTGTTCTTTTAGAACACTAGAATTAAATAATTATAAATTTTGAAATGAGAATATTCTCCTTTGTATTAAAAAAATACCTGTAATATTTACTTTGAGTACACAGAGGCATCTCTTATATGTTTAACATAGTCAAAGACTCAAGTAAGAACAGATTTGTCATTGTGTGTGTGTGTATATATATATATATATGTCTAACATGTACTGACTCTTTTTTGTTGTTGTATTGGGACTCAGACCAAAGGCCTTATACATGCTAGGCAAGTGGCAAGTGCTATGATTGAGCTACACCCCCAACCCTTTTGACCCTTGATCCCTTTTTAACCTCAGTTGTTAAAAAGCATTGATTGTGATAATGGTTGTATATTATCTGTGAATATAGCAAAACCATTGCATTGTATTCTTTAAATAGGTAAATCTTATGGTATTTTAATTGTATCTTAAACCTATTATATGTTTTTAAAGAATTAATTTAAAAACAATTATCATCAGCTGTGTGGAACAATTCATTATTTTTATTTTAAAGATAAAGACTACATGTTTTTATTTAGCTTGTTGTCTTAATCTATACCCTCTGGGGTGTGGTTATTTTTTTAGTCGCTGGGTAAGTCGGAGCGCCACCACACAGCGCAGGAAAGAGCGCCTTCGCCAGCATTCCGAGCACATTGGACTGGACAACGACTTGAGGGAGGTATGTGGGCTGCCTGCCTGTTGTGTCAGGATGCAAGAGCCAGGAACTAGGCTTAATAAGCCAGCAGGTGTCATTGTGCAAATTCTTTCATGTTCTTTTAAAAAAACAGTTCAGTTATATTTTAAAATATTAATCTTTTTGTACTGACTTGTACCAGAAAATACCTTTTTTCCATATTTGTAATTTCCATACATCTGAAATAGGGCACTAAGAGAAGTCTTTTGTGTGTTACATCAAGTAAGACTGTGTTTAGGTTATATTTTTGGTCATTTGGTCTCCTATAGAGAAAAAAAAATTGCCAGAAACAGACATTTCTAAATTTCAAATATAATTTAAATTTAGTAAGTAAAGATGTATGCTTTGTCCCTGGCTTAGTGACACCACCATAAAAGTGTTTAAACTACTTTTAAATTAAGATCCAAAGGTTTTGTTTGTAGTCTTTGAAAATAAAACTGTATTATACATTTGAATAATGTAAGTTTTGACTCTTTCTGTGATCAAAAGAAAAATGCAATCAGCAAACCTGTTAACTATTTTTTTTAAACTAAGCAGAAAACAGTCGTTCCAAACATCTGTCACTTTTTGTTGGTGTGTTCGTACATATGTGATTAAATTAAACATTTTCTTAAGAACTGAAGCATCTCCTGTTCTGTGCTTTTCTTTTGCTACTGTATTTTCTTCTTTCCCCCTCTCTTTTGCTATGATTTTATCATATGCATGCTTGTTTTGCTTGTCTCTCTCCCCCCATCCTTTTTTTTTTCTTTTTTTTTTTTTTTTTTTTCTCTTTTCTATCACTGGCACTATTCCATCCTCTTAGCCTTCCGGGGAACTTTTGGTCTGTCAGAACTCCATGGCATTCTGGGAGTGGGATCAGGGCCCACCTCCTCCTGCACGGCTTCCTAAAAAGTCCTTCTCTGAGTGCTGCCTGGTATGTCCTTTGCCTGAAAGTGCTTCACCAAATGTTCCCAAATTTTGTCTTTGGTGTTGCTTGAAATGATACACGTGTGAGTGCACATAGTTCTAGAATGCCTCACATCACTTTGTGAAGTAAACTCTCAGCCTCTCCATTTCGCTCTCTGCTTTCTCTTGTGTTTGGTGCCTTTTTGTACTGGTGTGTGCCAATACAAGTAATTCTGTCCTATTAATAGTAGAACTGATTATTCAAATCCCTAGTCAGTGGAGAGTTTTTTGAAATTATATTGGAAATTGTGGTGGCACACACTTGTAATCCCAACAGCTTGGAAGGCTGAAGTAGGAGAATCACCAGTCAAAGGCAGCCTCGGCAATTTAGCAAGGCCCTGAGTAACTCAGTGAGACCCTGCCTCTAAATAAAATACAAAAAAGGGCTGGAGATATGGCTCAGTAGTTATGTACCCCTGGATTCACTCACCTATACAAAAAAAAAAAAAAAAAGAAAAAAAATACACACACACACATATGTACACATATATACATGTAAAATTTAAATACAGATTCTCGTGTAAGTATTTTCCAGAAGTGCAGAAGTGATTGAATTTCAGCTTTTCTTTTTCTAGACTTTATCTCCACAGAATTAAATTGATTTATTTTCCTGGTCTATATGTTGTCAGAAAATTCAGTCATAAATACAGAATTTTAGCGTGAAGGGTCATATTTGAGGTTGGCTTATCCACTTGACATAATTTGACTAAAAGGGGCACAGCTAGGCATCTAGCCCAGGACTTCTGACATTCAGGCCAGGAGTCTCTTTCCATTAACCACACACACCAGGATGCACTAACCACAATTCACCTGAGGGCACAAGTAATTTAGGACTCTTGCTTGTATTTTTTTCCACATTATTTCATGAGTTTAGATTTATTTAACAATGGTCTTCTTTTCATTAGTTCAGCACCAATTAAAAGGATAGAGTGTTTGTTTATTAGAAAATTTAAGGAAAGCATGTACTAAAGAACACTTAGGTCTGAGTATGTTGGGATGAACCCAACTACTGCATATAACCATAAATATCTAATTAAAAAAAAAAAAAAAACAATAGCCAGGCACAGCGGCTCATGCCTGTAATCCCAGTGACTCAGGAGATTGAAGCAGGAAGATTGCAAATTAGAAGCCAGCCCTGGCAACTTGGCAAGACCCTGTCTCAAAATAAAACTTAAAAAAAGAGCTGGGAATGAAGTTCAGTAGTAGAGCACCCCTGGAATTGACAGTACCAAAATTAAGAAGGAAGAAAGACACTTAGTTTGATGTTTATTGAATAATAGGATATGTTTTCATTAGGTATTTCCTAGCAGCTTTTTGCTTATGTTTGACAAAATTAAAAAGCACAATAGGAATCCCAAAGAAATCTGGAATTTCTTTCCCCCATAGAGAAACCGATTTTATAATAAAAACATTCCTTGTGAAAAGTTTCTTTCTTCTCTATTTTCATCTCAAAATACATCAAAATACATAAGCAGACAGAGTGGCGCATGCCTGTAATCCTAGCTGTTCAAGAGGCTGAAGCAAGAGGATCTAAAGTTCAAAGCCAGCTTCAGCAATTTAGCAAGGCCCTAAGCAACTCAGTGAGACCCTGTCTCAAAATAAAAAATATAAAGAACTGGGGATATGGCTCAGTGGTTGAGTACCCTGAGTTTAATTGCTGTTAATAAAAAACAAAATCTTTTTCCAGCTGCTATTTTTATTATCATTCATTTACTTTAAAGATGTTTTCTGTTTTTGAATTGCAGAAATAGCCTCCCTTCTTGCTATGAGAAGAGGCCTCTTGGCATCCCTGTATCCTTTCTTTGTAGATCCATGAGGTGTGGCTAATTCTGTGGCTCCAGAAGGAGATTTTGCAAATGGCTGTATGAGGCCCACTGTTGACTAATATGTACACCTACCCCATGTGCTGGATGCTCAGAGATATGGTCACTCAAAGAATAGCCCCCATCTGGCTTGTGTTCTTTTATATAAAACAACACATAAATTAATAGTGCTTAATTTAGATTTATTCCAGAATTTTTAAATATATTTCAGGAAAAAGAAATGCTGGAGGCTTTTTCCCAGCCTCTTACCTGACCATGTTCTCATTCCCTTTCTTCTAGCTGGTGTATTTCATCCTTAGCTAGTTTAGTACTTAACACTTCTTTAGAATGGTTCTCTCTATATTTGCGTAAGGATGGAAATATTGAACGTTATTATTAACACAAAAATCCTAAGAATTAGCTATGAACTCTGGGGGTGGGGAAAGGATTCTTTAAATTTTAACAGTTAACATTTGTTTTTACCAACCTTCTACTCATTTTAATACGTATTCCAATTAACAATAGAAAATGCAAATATAATTCTTACACAGGGTTCATGCCCTGTGTCTCAGGTTGATTATTCTGAAACTGCTTTCATTTGCTATATTTATTTATTTATTTATTTGTTTCAGTATATCTCCATATACCTTGTTTTATGTATTTAACTTCTCTGATAACAATTCTCTCATTCTCAATTTTCCCTTTTTTTTTTGACCTCAAAAATATTTGAAGCAAAAAATATATATCAGTGCTGTGGGAACTAAATGCTTGCAGAATTCATTTGATTTTTAAATCTTTCTTAAAATAATTAGTGGGAAAAGGAAACATTATTTTATTAATCAGTGGGATTTTTAAAATATTTTTATCATATATACTAGATTCATTTTCTTCCAAAGGGGAAATATATCAAACCTACAAACTCTTACATTTAAAGAACTCAAAGGATTATACACATCTTCTTTTATCATATTAAATTCTCCCCAGCTGGGCGTGGTGGCACACACCTGTATTCCCAGTGGCTGAGGAGTCTGAGACAGGAGGATCACGAGTTCAAAGCCAGCCTCAGCAAAAGTGAAGCGCTGAGCAACTCAGTGAGATTCTGTCTCTAAATAAAACATAAAATAGAGCTGGGATGTGGCTCAATGGTTGAGTGCCCCTGAGTTCAATTCCTGGTACAAAAAAAAATTCTCCCCTTAATATAGTAAGGATTGCTGTCACATATGTGCCCATGGGAGGATGTGTGGATATGCTGGCTTGCAACCACTATCTTGCTCACTCTCCCTGCAGCAAACTACTAGTTTTACTATATAATGTAGTCTAGCTATTCTCTAAATATGGTCCCAAAACACTTGGGTCTTTTGGAAATTCTGCCCTGTGATTCTGATACAAACATGAGATATGTAGATGGGAGTTTTTCAGATAGCATAGAAAGAAGGCAACATAGTGTGCACATGTTCTACACTAGTTGTGTAGTTTTGTTTTTGGATTTTTTGTTTTTTTTGTTTTTTTTTGGATGAAAATTTATTAACCAGAGTTCAAGAGCATTGTGTTGGGTTTCTGTGGTACTTCCAAATCACCATCGACTCTAAACTTAACAGTATAATCCCACTCTTTTATGATTGTAGAACAAGGCAAGGGAAGGCTTTAGCAAACTTCACAGAAAGAAGAGACCTTGTATTTGAAGCACACATCCTTTTCCCCGTGATTTTACAGCTTTTTTTTTTTTTTTTTTTTTTAACCTTGGTGCACTTGTTTTATGCCCATTTAACAAGCTGAGATACAGGAACATTAGTTGATATGCCTGAGGTCTTACAATTAGTTGCAACATGATTCTAGAGCTCCTGATTTTACTGTTGTGACTTGATTAGAACAGCAAGTTGAGCTGGAGAGCACTGTCCAAAACAGTACAGGTAAATGAAGTCTTTTTGTTGTATGAAGGAGTGGAGGGAGCCAGTGATACGAGAACCACTGCACTCCTATAGAACCTAGACTTGTAATCCAAACACCTCAATTTTTTTGTTCTGTGATCCTCACTAATCACACTTTGGATAGTCACAATAAAAAGAGTAAACTAAATGAAACTCCGTATCACTTTGAATGAGTTTTAATCTGATGAGGTCTCTGTTACCCTCATTTTCACAGGCATTAACAGGTTGTGATGGGAGTACAAACGTCCTCTGCCTTTTAGTGCACTAAAGCTTTAATTGTTGTTGCACACATACTTACTGCCTTTTTGCAACTTGTTTGTTCCTGCATTTGTTTGTATAAGGTTAAGTAGAATAGAAAAAAATCTTCTGTTAATGTTTTTTTAAAATACTCTTAATTTTTAGAAATACATGCAAGAGGCACGAAGTTTAGGAAAAAATCTGAGGCAGCCCAAATTGTCAGACCTTTCTCCTGCAGTGATTGCACAGACCAACTGGAAATTTGTAGAAGGCTTATTAAAAGAATGTAGAATGAAGGTATGTATTACTAATGCCACACAGTACTCATTCATATTCACACCATGTGTGGGGCTAAATGAGCTGAGTCAACCCTCATTCATGCCTATAGTTTCTTAAAACAAAACTTTTCCAGTAGCATAGCCCTCAGGTGTCCTTCTCTGAGGTCCTGAACCTCCATGGACTTTCCCATGGCTCACAGCATCAGTGACATGGGAGCCCGGCATAGTTTCTCATCTTTTTAGTTATTGTCTTCCTCTACTTCAATATAAATAGATGTTAAGCCATTCACAAGTTGTGTCAGAAATGTTGTCATCTTATGTAAAAGGCAGCACTTTTTTTGTTTGTGTGTGCACCTGTGTACCTCCTTGTCTGCACCCATACATTCATATGTACATCCATAAGGAGAAAAAAAATTCAGTCGTATTGTTGGTTAGTGTATTATACCCCAGTTTCCTCTTGGATGCCTGAGTTTATATGACTTAGCAGTACAAACTGACAAAACTCAGAATGTCATTTTAGCTAATAATTTTATTCAGTGTTATTTCTTGAGTACTTTCTCTGTATATTCAATAAATGCACTATTTTATTTTTTTTATTCATCATTCATTCTAATTTGTTATATATGACAGCAGAATGCATTTCAATTCATAGTACACACATAGAGCACAACTTTTCATGTCTCTGGTCATACATAAAGTAGAGTCACACCATTCGTGTCTTCATACATGTACTTGGGGTAATGATGTCCATCTCATTCCACCATCTTTCCTACCCCCCTGCCCCCTCCCTTCCCCTTCCTCCCTTAGCCCTATCTAAAGTTCCTCCATTCTTCCGATGCCTCCACCCCATACCCCACCATCCCCATTATGGATCAGCATCCTCATATCAGAGAAAACATTCAGCATTTGGTTTTGGGGGATTAGCTTACTTCACTTAGCATAATATTCTCCAACTCCATCCATTTACCTGCAAATGCCATGATTTTATTCTCTTTTAATGATGAGTAATGTTCCATTGTGTATATTTACCACAGTTTCTTTATCCATTCATCTACTGAAGGGCATCTAGGTTGGTTCCACTGTTTAGCTATTGTGAATTGAGCTGCTGTAAACATTGATGTGGCTGTGTCCTTGTAGTATGCTGATTTCAAATCCTTTGGGTATAAACCGAGGAGTGGGATAGCTGGGTCAAATGGTGGTTCCATTCCCAGTTTTTCAAGGAATCTCCATAATGCTTACCAGAGTGGCTGCACCAATTTGCAGTCCCGCCAGCAATGTATGAGTGTGCTTTTTCCCCACATCCTCACCAACACTTATTGTTGTTTATATTTTTAATAGCTGCCATTCTGACTGGAGTGAGATGAAATCTTAGAGTAGTTTTGATTTGCATTTCTCTAATTGCTAGAGATGTTAAACATTTTTTAATATATTTGTTGATTGATTGTATATCATCTTCTGAGAAGTGTCTATTCATTTCCTTGGCCCATTTATTGACTGGATTATTGTTATTTTTTGGTGTTAAGATTTTTGAGGGCTGGGGTTTGGCTCAGTGGTAGAGTACTCGCCTCGCATGCACAAGGTACTGGGTTCAGTCCTCAGCACCACATAAGTTTGCTGATTTTACTGAAGATATTGTGTCCACCCAAAACTAAGAAATAAGTATTTAAAAGATTTTTGAGTTCTTTATATATCCTAGAGATTAGTGCTCTATCTGATGTGCGTGTGGTAAAAATTTGCTCCCATTCTGTAGGCTTTCTGTTCACCTCACTGATTGTTTCTTTTGCTGAGAAGAAGCTTTTTAGTTTGAATCTGTCCCTAAATGCACTGTTTTCAACATCAGAATATAGTGGTGAATTGAAGACAAGGTCCCTGCCTAAAGGGACTAGATTCTTTCTCATTTTACAGTTTACAAAAGCAGCTAAATTTGGTGTATATTAATTTACCTAAAAGTGATTCCCATTTTCTTTCCATTTTCTTTGTGTATATATAATCAGAGAAGAGAGAAAAGAGAAGGGAAAATATATTTCTGGTTTATGCACAAATTAGGAAGTTCTGCAGAATCTTAGAACTGCCCATTTCTGTTGTGGTTTTTGCCTAAATGCAACTAAACTGAGTACAAATAGCTTTAGTATACCAAGTGCTAGAGTCAGTGGGAGGGCAAATTTTAGTGACAGGTTGTGATTCCAGTTTCAACAGTACATTTTTCTAGGTCTAGTGTAATTTCCCAGTGTCACAGAAGTGAATAATCTGAAAATTGTTGTATAAAAACACTTTTTCAATATGGGGATGCTTGATAAATATTAGGTTATTCTCTTTTTAGTGACCTTCCATTTCCAATTAGAAGTATAATAAAAAGCTGGGCATAGTAGCATGCACCTGTAATCCCTTGGGACTTGGGAGACTGATACAAAAGAATCCCAAGTCCAAGGCCAGACATGGCAATTTAGCAGGACCCTGTCTCAAAATAAAAAGAGCTTGGAATATAGCCCAGTGGTACAGGGCCTCTGGGTTAAATCCCCAGTAATAACAACAAAAACAAAAGACATATAATAAAAAAAAGCCAGTTCTCCTAACCCAGTAATCTCCTAACCCTAGTTTTTGGTTTTGCTGCCTGAGTAATTTATGCATATTCATGATGTTTTCAGACAAAACGCATGTTGGTAGAAAAGATGGGACATGAAGCAGTGGAGCTGGGCCATGGAGAAGCAAACATCACTGGCTTGGAAGAGAATACCTTGATTGCCAGCCTCTGTGACCTACTAGAGAGGATATGGAGCCATGGCCTACAGGTCAAACAGGTAACAGTCTCAGAAAGTACTGGTGTCATGGTCATTTAGGAGCCCTGTTAAGAAATATAACAGGGGGGGCTGGGGATGTGGCTCAAGCTGTAGCGCGCTCGCCTGGCATGCATGCGGCCCGGGTTCAATCCTCAGCACCACATACAAACAAAGATGTTGTGTCCGCCGAAAACTAAAAAATAAATATTAAAATTAAAAAAAAAAAAAGAAAGAAATATAACAGGGAAAGCCTGGCATGGTGTCACATGTCTGTAATCCCAGCTACTCAAGAGGCTAAAGCAGGAGAATGACAAATTCAAGGCCAACCTCAGCAATTTAGTGAGACCCTGTCTCAAAATAATTGAAAAAAGGACTGAAGATGTAGTTCAGAGGTAGAGTATTTGTCTAGCATTCAGGAGGCCCTGGATTCAGTACCCAGTATCACCAAAAAAAAAAAAAAAAAAGAAAGAAACTGGGTATAATGGCACATACCTGTAATCCCGGCACCTTGGGAGCCTCAGGCAGGAGGACTCAAGTTTGAAGCCAGCCTCAGAAGCTTAGTGAGTTCCTAAGCAATTTAGCAAGACCATATCTCAAAAAAGGCTGGGGATGTGTCTTAGTGGTAAAACACCCCTGGGTTCAATCCCCAGAACCCCCCCACCCCGCAAAAAAAAGTGACAAGGAGAAAAGGATCACAAAAAAAGGTGGGTTTCACCAGGAGTGGTGGTGCAAGATGCAAGCCTGTAATCCTCAGCAATTTGGGAGACTGAAGCAGGCAGATCATAAGTTCCAGGCCAGCCTTGGCAACTTAGCAAGACTGTCTCAAAATGAAAAAGAGGTTGGGGATATAGCTTCCTGGTAAAGTACTCCTGGGTTCAATCCTCAGTACCACACAAAAAAGAAAGAAAGAAATGTGCCATGGGCATTTTAATTCCAGAAAAAAAAAAAACAACCTGTGATCAGGCGATAGTTTGGTATCTTTCCTGGCAAACAAGAAAGGATAAAGTAGCACAATTATCCTGTGTAGATTTCATTTAATATCCAGGAAATGTCCTGCTTTTGTCCAGGAAAAAGGTGTAGCCAGAATTAACATTTCTTGACCTGGGTTTTTTTGTTTTGTTTTGTTTGTCTGTTTTGGTACTGGGAATTGAACCCAGAGGAGCTTAACCACTGTGCCAAGTTTCTAGCTCTTTTTATTTTTTATTTTGAGACAGGATCTTGGTAAGTTAACCAAGGCTGGCCTAGAACTTGTGATATACCTGCCTCAGTCTCCTGAGTTGCTGGGATTACAGAAGTGCACCACCATACCCAATTTCTGATTTTTTTTTTCTTCTTATGACTCCCTGCTTCTCTCATTCTAATTTTCTTCCCTCATTGCTACTCCATATTTCAAACATTTTCATATGGGTGTATATAAATACACTATGTACTCCTGGAGTTTTTTAATTCCATAGTTATTAATGTTTCTTAATTATATATAACTAAGTAACAGCTGAGTTGACATAAAAAAAAAATCTTCAAACCCACCCTCTGGCCTTCTGCTTCCCTTCCCTTTTCCAGACTCTTACCAGACTTCTTAGCAAGGCAAAGTATAACCCTTAAAACACATAGAGTGAGCCTAGTATAGTGGCACACGTCTTAATCCTAGCAACTGAGGGCGTTGAAACGGGGATTGTGTGTTCAAAGCCAGCCTCAGCAAGGGAGAGGCACCAAGCAACTCGGTGAGACCCTGTCTCTAAACAAAATACAAAATAGGGCTAGGGATGTGGCTCAGAGGTTGAGTGCCCCTGAGTTCAATCCCCGGTACCCCAAAACAAACAAACAAATAACAACAACAACAAAAACCCACATGGAAAGAGATGCTCAGAATGTCACACAGGATTTAGCGTGTAGCCCAGTGCTACAGTGTTTACCTATAATGTACAATGCCCTGGGTTAAATCCTCAGCACTGAGGAAAAAAAAAATTATACAGTGAGCTTGGGTCACCAAACTTCATAATGGCCAATTTAAATGATCTTGATGAGAAATTATTTTTTCATAAAATACTTATTTAAAATGAAAATTTTTATTTCTACTTTCAGGGGAAGTCAGCTTTGTGGTCACATTTAATTCAATTTCAAGACAGAGAAGAAAAACAAGAGCACCTTGCAGAATCACCAGGTAAGAGGGCTTTGCTTTAGGTTGTTTGAATTGGCAGCATTGGACCATGAAAAGAATCAATAACAGATGGGCTTGTCTGTCTTTTTCTCTCTCAAGCTAAAACGTAGCCAGTTTTTCCAGTAGTAGGATAAAGCAGAAGCAGCATGATTATTTATTTTTTCAGGCCGGGAAAAGTTACTTGACTTTTCTGATTTGTGTGTGTGTATATGTATGTTACTGCATTAGATTCTACCACCAAGCTACAACCCCAGCCTTTTTTATTTTTTCTGTTGAGACAGGGTCTCACTAAATTCCTTAGGGTCTTGCTAAATTGCTGAACTGGCCTCAAGCTTGGGATCTTCCTGCAGCAGCTCCAGAGTAGCTGAGATTATTGGCATACACCACTGTACCAGGCGACCTTTCTGATCTTCTGCCTCACCATGTACAAGATAGGGGAAATAATGCCAAGGCAGACATGTTGATCAAAAATGAAAATCCCCAGTGAATTGTAAAAGACCATATAAGTATTCCTTACTCCCACCAACATTACACTATGGTGTATATTGATATTTTTTTTGTCTTAAAGTTTTGTGACTATTACTAATCTTTTGAGAACCTGTAATCCCAGTGAATCAAGATGCTGAGGCAGGAGGAGTACAAGTTCAAGGCCATCCTCAGCAACTTAGGCCCTCAGGAACTCAGATCCTGTCTCAAAATTTAAAAATAAATAAATAAAAAGGATTGGGGATGTAGCTCAGTGGTAAAGTGTATCTGGGTTCAATCCCCAGTACCAAAAAAATAAAATAAAATCATCATCATCATTCAGGGAAAGAGTGTATCTCAATCTTCAGGAACTGGAGTTTTGTTTTGTTTTGGTTTTTTTTTTTTTTTTTACTTTGTTAATTTACTTTTTGAGATGGGGTCTCTCTATGTTGACCAGGCTTTTTTCAAACTCCTGAGCTCAACCAGTCTTCCAGACTTCAGGTGTAGGCATCACACCTGGGTTGGGAGTCAGATTATTCAGTTTATACAAAATATCACATGTTAAAGTGTCATAACGTTCTATCTTCCTGCTATTTATTTTTTTACAAAGAAAATGCAGAGGTGCTGGGCCCAGGGTCTTACCCATGCTAGGCAACCACTTTACCACTGAGTAATACTCCCAGACTAGAACTTGCTTTTCTTTATGTAAAATAACCATTTATTTCACAAAAAGTATAAATAACAGTGGGAAGCTAATAGAAATAAAATGTCTTATTGGAGCAGTCATTTAGGAAACTTTTCTAAAATTATAGAGTATTTCAAACATTCAGGAATATAAAAATGTAAAAACTTTTATAAACTCATTTGCTAACCACCAGCTTAAAACAAAAAATACATGGGCTGGGGTTGAGCACTCACCTAGCACACACAAGGTGCTAGGTTCAACAGACACACTAGGTGCTAGGTTCAATCCTCAGTGCCACATATAAATAAATAAATAAAGGTGTTGTGTTCAACTACAACTAAAAAAATAAAATAAAATAAAAAATACAGGGGCTGGGGCTGGGGCTCAGTGGCAGAGCACTCGCCTAGCATGTGCGAGGTGCTGGGTTCGATCCTCAGCCCCACATAAAAATAAATATTAAAAAATAAATAAATAAATAAATAAAAGATATAAAAATAATTGTAACAATCTTTATAAAAAATACAAACATTACAAATATGATTGAAACACCCTTGTATCCACCCCCTCCTCCTTTTTCCTTTCTGCCCTTAGAGGGCAACACTACCCTAAATGTGTTTATTATTGGAAACCTAGTTTTTAAATATATTTAATCAGATAGCTAGGAGTATAAGTTGGCTTTTTCCTTTGTAAATTTTTTTATTTGTTCTAATTAGCTATACAGGACAGTAGAATGCATTTAGGCACTTTGTTATTTTATACATAAATGTGGTATAATTTCTTATTTTTCTGATTGTACATGTGGAATCACATTGGTCATGATGTCATATATGTACATAAGGTAATAATGTCTGTTTCATTCTACTGTCCTTCCTATCCCCATGTGTCCTCCCCTCCCTTCACATCCCTCTACCTAAAGTAACTCTATTCTTCCATAACACCCCACCCCCACTTATTGTGAATTAGCACCCACATATCAGAGAAAACATTAGCGTTTGGTTTTTTGGGATTGGCTTACTTTGCTTAATATGATACTCTCCAACTTGATACTATCATGCCCTGAAGCTCCTCTGAAAAGAAATGTCAAATTCCTGATGTCCCAGGTTATAATTATGTTTATAAAGATTCAGATTAAGTTTAAAAGCATTCTCTAATGTTCATCTCCTCTTCCCCTTTGTCTGTAAAGAAAAAGTAAAAATGTGTTGGCATGTGCCCTGAGTTGTCTCTAACAGAAAGTACAGCAGTTCAGACCATAAGACCATAATCAAGACAGCTTACCCTAATTTCTTTTTTTTTTTTTAAACAGTTGCAGCAATTTTTTTTTTTTTTACAGAGAGAGAATTTTAATATTCATTTATTTTTTAGTTTTCGGCGGACACAACATCTTTGTTTGTATGTGGTGCTGAGGATTGAACCCGGGCCACACGCATGCCAGGCGAGCGCACTACCACTTGAGCCACATCCCCAGCCCCAGCTTACCCTAATTTCACTTGCTTTTAGCCAAAAGGCTGAGAAATGGTTTTACCCCAATATTTAAAAAATAAATCCCTAGGAAGAAATAACCATTTGTAAGGTGAGATGTTAGAAAGTCAACATTAGTTAAGGTGGGGAGCATTCAGCTCTTGTGCCAAAATGAGGCATGTAAGAATGTCTAGCAGTTAGAATTAACAACTGTTAGGCAACACCAGCAGCTTTCCTGGCTTTGGCTGATCAAATGTTGGGTGGTTCAGGTGGAGATCAGAGTATCGATTATCTCAATGCCTTCAGTTAGTAGTAGAACAAGCAAAACTAAAGACAAGGCTAAGGAATATAAAATGTGCCAAAGCCTCATGTAGTCATTGTTTGTGCTCTGATGTCAAATGTTGATGAAGGGCTGGTAATGTAAGAATGAACACAAGTTAAATATTTTGCTGATCCTAAGTAAAATAAATACAAGCCATGTAGCTTTTGAAATCAAAGTTTATCATTTGTTTAGAGGATGGATTTCATGACTATTGCTCTAACACTTCTAGTGATTTAGTCCAGGAAATTCGAATTTAAAAATATGAGAGTAGCCAAAAGATTACACACCTGTAATCTCAGCTACCTGGGAGGCCAAAGCAGGATGATCCCAAGTACAAGGCCAACTGGTCAGGTTAGCAAGATCCTCTCTGTCTCAAAATTTAAAAAGAAATAGAGGGCAGGGTATGTAAATCATGATAGAGCACTCCTGAGTTCAATACCCAGTACCACCAGAGAAAAGAGAATATGAAATACATGTGAAAATATCAGTTTAAAAAATATTTTATTCTAGGACTGGGGATATAGCTCAGTGGTAGTGTTTGCTTAGCATGTGCGAGGTCTTGGATTCAACTCCCAGTAGCACCAAAAAGTAAAAATTTTTAAGAAATAATATAGTGCTCTAGATACACAAAAATAGTTTTTTTGTTTTTGTAAGTCTGGATGTATCTCAATGGTAGAACACACTAGTCAGCATTTGTGAGGCCCTGAATACCATCCCCAGCACCACACACACATGCACAAAAATTAATTTTCACCAGGCACAGTGGCACACATCTGTAATCGCAGCAACTAAGGATGCTAAGGCAGGAGGATCACAAGTTCAAGGCCGTCCTTGGCAATTTTGTAAGACTGTGTCCCTTGTCTTGAAATAAAAAATAAAAAGGGGGATGTAGCTCAGAGTCCTTAAAGATTCGCAGGGGGTTTGAACACTGCTTTTACTGGCATTGAGCCCAGATGAGACTACATGATAGATTATTAGCATCATTCTTCAGAAGCAGCAACTAATAGTAGTTACAGACATTTGGAGGATTGCAGAAGAACAGAAAGGGTCTATTTTAGCAAAAGGATCATAGTGAGTAGTCTATGTTAACTTTGACTTAGCAATCATGCTCCTAGCAGTCTAAGTCCTGTTTCAGACAGTCTCACAATGCAATTGGTCCTAGAACAAGGACTGTTCTTAATATATCATCCAGAAGTTTCTGCCTTTAAAAATGGTGACACATGCCTGTAATTCTCACTATTATTTGGAAAGCTGAACCAGGAGGATCAAAAGTTCAAGGCCAACCTCTGCAACCTAGTAAGCCCCTGTCTCAAAATAAAAAATAAAATATTGGGATGTAGTTCAGTAGTAGAATACCCCTGAATCCAATTCTTAATAGTAAGTAAGTAAATAAATGTTGGCTGGTTTATAATATGCGTTGTTCTTAAACCTTGCACCCTTAAAGTTCAATGAAACTGTACATAAATTTTTAAATCCTGTGTCAGGAGTTGAGGTAGATTAGCATACAAAGGAGTAGAAATGCTGTATTTAAATTCATTTTCTGGATTTTTTTTTTTTTTTTTTTTTTTTGCTCATCCAGGAATATTGTATCACTCTTTAATCATCTTCATCAAAAGTTTTCTTTTTTTTCTTTGCAGTTCTGGGAATTGAATACAGAGGTGTTCTACCATTGAGCTACATCCTCAGCCGCCCCCCACCCTTTTTTTGTTTGTTTTTGTTTTGTTTTGTTTTGGGAGGTAGTGTCTCACTAAATTGCCGAGACTGGCCTAAAACTTGTGATCCTATTGCCTCAGCTTCCCAGCCTCCCATGTCTCTGGGAAAAAAGGCATGCACCAATGCACCCAGCAAAAATTTTCTATTAATTACTTACCTGCTTATAGACTGTGGATGGTTCTGTAAAACAATATACATAATCTCTACACTTTAAAAACTTGTGTATGCAGTAGCACTGACTCAGGCAGGTACGCAAAGGGAATTCCTGTGAATTAATTCAAGTATTAAATCCATGAATCCAAGAAGAAGGTGACCTGTAATCCCAATGGCTATTGAAGTAGAGGCAAGAGGATCATGAGTTCAAAGCCAACCTCAGCAAAAGCAAGGTGCTAAGCAACTCAGTGAGATGCTGTCTCTAAGTAAAATACAAAATAGGGCTGAGGATGTGGCTCAGTGGTTAAGTGTCCCTGAATCCAATCCCCAATATCCGCCCCCCCACCCCCGCCACCAAAAAAAGGCATGGCTTCATTACTTAGCTCCTTATCTGTCTTCTGCTCATGGATTTCTAAACTCTTCCCTCCAAAGTCACTATAAACTAATGTACTAGATTCCCAGGAATGATGTAATAAATTATCACAAACTGAGTGACTTAAGCAACATAAATTTATTGTCTTAGGTTTATGTAAGCTAGAAGTCCAAGGTCAGGGTGTCTCTGGGTTTGTTTCTTCTGAGGACCATAAGAGAAAACTTGTTCCATACCTCTCTCCTCACTTCTGGTAGTCTCAGACATTCCTTGGCCAGAAGATGGTATTCTTCTTATGTCTTTACATCATTTTTCCTCTGTGTGTACCTCTGTATCTAAATTACTTTATTTGTTTTAATTTTTTTAATGGTACTGGAGATGGAATCCAGGAATGTTTTATCACTGAGCTACATGCCCAGCCCTTTTTATTTTTTATTTTGAGATAGGGTCTCACTAAGTTGCTTAATGCCTTGCTGAGTTGCTGAGGCTGGCCTTGAACTTGGAATTCTCCAGCCTCAGCCTCCCAAGTTACTGGGATTATAGGCATGTATCAGTGTGTGTGTGTGTGTGTGTGTGTGTGTGTGTTACTGGGGATTGAAGCTAGGGCCTTACACTTAGGCATACATTCTGCCACTAAACTACATCCTCAGTCCCCAATTTCTCTCTTTTATAAGGATACTGGTCAGATTGGATTAGGGCCCTACCCTCATGAAGTCAACTTGATCATCTGAAAAAATTACTTCCAAATAAGGTCATTCTCATAGGTGCCTTGTGATAGAACGGCAGCATCTTCGGCAGGTACACAATTCAAACCACAACACTACTATTTCCTAAATCACTGTCATCATCCAGCTACCATATTAGCAGATTATTCTCAAATCTCCATATCCAGTCCTAAAGATGGATATCTAGGAACTCAGCACATCTTAAAACAAACTCTTTATTTCAGCACATCTTCTTCCTGATCAGATTTTTTACTCTTCCTTATTTAATGGAACAAGAACCATTCTTTCAGTCAAGCTAGAAGCCAGATGGTCATCTGTAATGTGCTGGAAAGACTACTGGACATGACTTGAGAACACTCAGCCCTGTATAATAAGTGTATGTGATTCCACAAATTTCTTAATCTCTTCAAACCACACTTTCCTCATTTGCAAAATTAAGATTAAAAAAAAAAAACCTCAGGACTGTGAGTATAGTTCAATGGTAGAGTGTGTGCTTAGCCTACATGAGGCCCTGGGATTCAATCCCCATCACCAAAAAGAAAAAAAAAAAAATCAAAGGTTATAATTAGTTGGATAGTATATATTAAAACATTTTATTTTAATACCAGATGTTGTTTTTTGATTCTTGAATCTGACCCTTTGCTTTCACTGGCTACTACTCTTTTACTTTATCCACCATCTCTGGCCTTTGGAATAATTTCTACTTTAACTTCTTTTTGTTTTTTCTTACATGATCATACTGTCACTCTTGTTTAAAAAAAAAGTCCTCAGGAGCATAGCATTTATTTTCAAAATTCTCCCTGTCCCTAGAATAAAGTTCTAACTTGACATTCAAGATTCTAGCATCTGTCCCTCAGTAGCCTCATTTCCCTGAGTATTTGCTGAGCACACCCTATATGTGGGCCTCTACTACAGGCCCTCTGTGTATTCTAAGAATAGGACACAACTGCATCTCAACAGGTATAATTTAGTAGGAGTAATAAAAATGAAGTTGTGGTATGTTCTGTGATAGAGTTTTAATTTTACAAGTCTTATTAGAGAGAGAATGGTTTATCCAACAATGTGCTTAAGGGACAGAGAATATTCAGGAAAGATCTCACATTGGGACAGAATTAAAGATAGATTTCATTGCATTTCATTGAGAACTTACTTGGTGCTAAGCACTATTATAAAGTTAAGATCTATGTCAATAAAGTAAATACTGTCACTGTTCCCTCCCAGTTTACAGGTAAGGAGATAGTCCATAGAGAAACTCTTACTCACGCAAAGAAAGACATCTATTAAAGTCTATAATGTTCAAGAAAGCCATGTTCTAAGTCATTAAGCTATGCATATTACTTTCCAATTTAAAGTGATACATAGGCTGTAAACAAGGAAAAGGATACAGAGCAGTAAATGATGAGAATACTTTAACAAATGCATGAAGACATGAAAAAGTACATTCTTTTGAAGGAACATTGAGCAGAGAAGGGTGACTAGAATATAGGGTTCTAGAATAGGATTTACAGAATATGCTTATGCCTGTGAATGTTCAAACCATGAATGCTGCTGCTTTCTTAAATGTTAAATTCCTCTTTTATTTTTATTTATTTGGGATTCAACCCAGGGCCTTGCACATGCTAGTCCTCTACCACTGAGCTATACCAGCTCTCTGGCAATATGGTTCCTCCTTGTCAGGTCTTCCTCTGGCTAACTTGTTGATTATGGTTTCAGCTCCTTTCTGCCTTGTAATCTTTTTTCTCTTCTTCTCAGCCTATTTCCTGCCACTTATATGGCCATCTTTCATGCTGTCAATTCATTTGGAGTAGAGAGTATTCTTTGAGACACTTCATTTTATCCTCAAAAGGAAAAATCTTTAATAATGTACTTAAGTGGTGATGATCTTAAACAGGAAAATAAACATAGTACATTCCCTTTAAGTCTCAGGAACAATTTCTTCAGTGTCCATTATTTCCTGAATATCAAGAGAGATTGGTCTTTTCATTTAGAATTCCCTCCCCAAACTGCCTAAACAAATAGCCTTTTCATTACCTGCCTAGTATGGAAGACCCTCAAAAATACTACCTGTAGATTGGCTTGGCCACATCCTCTTCCCTCTGGCAGTCCCATCAGTGATCATTTATACCTGCCAGATGTCAACCTAGCCTTTTACCCAAGTACCAAAAAAAATATAAATACTAATATACCAAAATGTTCTCTACCCAACTTTCTCAAAGACAGGTTTATATGTGTGTATGCATATATATGTGTTTGTTCTGTTATTGTATCCTGATCTCACAAAGTAAAATGCACCTAAAAACTGAGAAAAATAAAGATTCAAGGTAGAGCAAAACTCCACATCCTAAATTCTATTTATATCAATGTATTTGCCAAGTGTGATGTTGCAATTTAGTTTTCATTTACAAATGGGAAAATGGAAATGAAGAAAGGGCACAAAACTCATGGCATCTCATGTAAAGCCAGACTGAACACACTAGCCACCATATTTTAGCCAATAGTTGATTGGTTGGCTATTGATACAAAAGATCATCATCTCTCCTTCTTCCATAAATGTTACCTGTTTAGACTTCATAAGAGAATAACTCATGGACATTATAATTCAGAACATCTATTGAGATAACTCACTTTGCATGGAGTACATAATATAGGTTGGATTGTTAACTTTGAAGTAGAAGGTTATCAAACTGAAGAGCCAAAACTGTTACAATTTAAATATATATATATACTTCCAGAGTTTAAAACTGTGTGATTACAATTTATGAGTCTGGAGATGAAGGTTCACATATTTAATCACTTAATTTGTGAACATTGCTTTCATGTAATCATCCAGAGCTATTAGAATGAATAGCTGTAGAAAATGACAGCCCTTAGGGCCAGAGTTTGCACACATTGTATTATTTGTTAGAAAAGATTCATTTTAAATTTCAAGTCTTAATGTTATTTTTCTAATACTTTGCTGGTGTTTTTCTACTAGTTGCCCTGGGACCAGAAAGAAGAAAATCTGATTCAGGAGTTATGTTACCAACACTCAGGGTCTCTCTCATCCAAGATATGAGGTATTTATTTCAATGTTAGCATATGGTGGTGACTTTGATGTATTTTATGGCTTTCACCTAAATCGCTCAAATAACATATTTTTTTCATTCCAAAGGGAAGATGCAACTAAGAAGTTTTTAAGCATGTGCTTCTTTTGTTTTTAAACATTTGTTTCTGTTTTGTTTGTTTTTTATGGATTAACCCCAAAGCCTGACACATACTAAGCAAGTACTCTACCACTGAGTTATTCTCCCAGCTAAAACATCTCTAAACTATTTTATTACTTATTTTGTTTGTTTTTTAAAAGCGCCTTTTAAATACTTGCTGTCTATAGATACAGACCAAAATACATCTAATTATTTGGCAGAAAATAATGGTCAGGTAGATTTAGTTTAGAGCAAATACAAACCTATCGCTTCCCAATTACTGGTCTTAGAAGTCTTCAGAAAGGATAAAACGTCTAAAGTAGATTTTTTAATGAAGAAAGTAAGGCTTTTTTTCTTTTTTTAATGCTTTTATTGGTGCATCATAGTTATACATAATGACTGAGTTCATTTTGACATAACATGCAGGTATGAAATTTAATTTGCTCTATTTTAATTCACCAGTGCCTCCTCTTTCCTCCCCTCCCAATTCCCTTATTCCCCACTTTTACTCTGCTGGTCTTCCTTCTATTTATTTATTTTTAACTGGTACTTTATAGATATACATACAGGTGGGATTCACTGTGGTATATTTAAACAAGCATCTAGCATATTTTTGTCAGATTAATTCTGCATTTCCTCCCCTTTCCTCTCTCTCCTTCCTCTCGCTCTGTCTCCTTTTACTCCACTGATCTTCCCTCTGTCCTTATGATATTCTTCCCCCAATATACACATACACTTTTTTTCCCTCACTTTGCTCTAGCTTTCACATATGAAAGAGAACATTCAGCCCTTGATTTTCTGAGTGTGACTTATTTCACTTAGCTTGATGTTCTCCAGTTCCTTACATTTACTGGCAAATGCCATAATTTCATTCTTCTTTGTAACTGAATAAAACTCCATTGTGTGTGTGTCTGTGTACACAAATACATTCTCTTAATCCATTCACCTATTGATGGACACCTGGGCTGGTTCCATAACTTGGCTATTGTGAGTCGCATTGCTTTCAACTATGGATGTAGCTGCATCACAACAGTATGCTAATTTTATTTCTTTTGGATAAATACTAAGGAGTGGATATTTATAAGTGGGTCATATAGTGGTTACATTCCTAGTTTTTTGAGAAATCTTTTACTGCCCTCCAGACTGATTGTATTAATTTGTGGTCCTACCAACAAGGTATGAGTGTACCTTTTTCTTCACATCCTTGCCAGCATTTGTATTTTTTTTCCCCATTGGTTATTTTTAGTTATACATAACAATAGGGTTCATTTTGACGTAATTATAAAATCATGGAATATAGTATGTTCTAATTTAGTCCCCAGTAGTTCCCCTTTCTCTTCCCTTCTCCCTCCTCTGTTCCCTTCACTCCACTCTACTGATCTTTCTGCTATTTACTTATACTTTTTTATTTTTTAATCAGTGCCTTGTGGATGTACATGATAGTGAGATTCACTGTGGTATATTCATATATGGAAGGAAAGTTTAGGTCATATTCATTCCATAGTCTTTCCCTATCCCATCTCTCCTTTCTTCCGTTCATTCCTCTTTGTCTGCTGCACTGATCTTTCATTTTTTTTAATCTGCCCTCCTCCTATTTTGGATTAGCTTTCAACCTTTGACTTTTTGACTTTTGGGGACTGGTTTATTTAACTTAGGATGTTAGTCTCCAGTTCTATCCATTTACTGACAGATGTCATAAAGCCATTCTTCTTTATGGCTGAGTAATACTACATTGTGTACATATGACATATTTTCTTTATCCATTAATCTATTGAAGAGCTCCTAGGTTGGCTCCAAAGCTTGTCTATCGTGAATTGTGTTGCTATAAAGATTGATGTGGCTGTATCACCATAGTATGCTGATTTTAAATCTTTTGGATATAAAACCAAGGAGTGGGATAGTTGGATCATATGATGGGTTCCATTCATAGGTTGTTTTTTGTTTGTTTGTTTGGTTGGTTGTTTTTTTTGTTTTTTTTGGTTTTGAGGGGTACCAGGGATTGCACTCAGGGGCACTCAACCACTGAGCCATATACCCAACCCTATTTTGTATTTTAGTTAGAGACAGGGTCTCACCAAGTTGCTTAGTGCCTTTTGCTGAGGCTAGCTTTGAACTCTGGATTTTCCTGTATCAACCTCGGGAACCACTAGGATTACAGCCTTGTGCTGCTGCGCCCAGCTTGTTTTGTTTTTAAGGAATCTCCATGCTGTTTCCAGAGTAGTTGCACTAATTTGCAGTCCCAAAAAAGTATGAGTGTACCTTTTTCCCCTTATCCTCACCAATCTTTATTGTTACTTATATTCTTACTAATTGCCATTCTGACTGGAGTGAGATAAAATCTCAATGTAGTTTTAATTTGCATTTCTTTAATTGCTAGAGATGTTGAATATTTTTTCATGTATTTGTTGACCATTTGTATTTCTTTCTTTGAGAAGTGTCTTTTTAGTTCTTTTCTTTTCTTCCCCCCCGCCCCGTAGTGGAAACTGAACCCAGGGGCACTTAACCACTGAGCCACATCCCCAGCCATTTTTATTTTTTATTTAGAGACAGATTCTCACTAAGTTGCTTAAGTCTTTGCTAAGTTATGGAGGCTGGCTTTGAACTTGCTGTCCTCCTACCTCAGCCTCCTAAGCCTCTGGGATTACAGGCATGAACCACCATGCCCAGCTCTTTATCCATATATTTATTGCTTGTTTTTTTAGTTCTTTGTATATCCTGGATATTAATTCCCTGTCTGAAGAGCAGGTAACAGATTTTCTCTCATTCTGTTGGCTCTCTTCACGCAACTAATTGTTTCCTTTGCTGTGCAGAAGCTTTCTAATTTGATACCATCCCACTTACTGATTTTTTGTTTTGCTTCTTGTGCTTTATGAGTCATCTTAAGGAAATCAGTTCCTGAGCTGACATGTTGCAGTATTGGGCCTGTATTTTCTTCTAGCAGTTGCAGGCTTTCTGGTCTAATTCCTAGGTCTTTGTTCCATTTTGAGTTGACTTTTGTACAGGGTGAAATACAGGGGTTAAATTTTATTCTCCTACGTATGGATTTCCAGTTTTCCCAGCATCATTTGTTAAAAAGGCTACCTTTTCTCCAACATATTTTTTGGCACCTTTGTCTAGTATGAGATACTTACATTTATATGGTATTGTCTCTGTGTCTTTTTTTCTGTTTCATTGGTCTCCATGCTTATTTGGTGCCAGTACTATGCTATTTTTGTTACTATAGTTCTGTAGTATATTTGAAGTCCAGTATTGTGATGCTTCCTGCTTCACTTTTCTCACCCTGAGACCTGTTTTTGGGTCTCTTGGAGGTTTTTTGTTTGTTTGTTTGTTTGTTTGTTTGTTTTTTGCAGTTGTAGATGGATACAATACCTTTATTTTATTTACTTATATTTATGTGGTGCTGAAGATCGAACCTAGGGCCTCACACGTGCTAGGCAAGCCCTCTACCCCTGAGCTACAGTGCCATCCCCGGTCTCTTGTTTTTCCAAATGAATGTCATAACTGCTTTTTCTAGTTCTGTGAAGAATGTCATTGGAATTTTGATGAGAATTGCATTGAAGCTATATAGTGCTTTTGGTAGTATGTCCATTTTGGCAATATTAATTCTATCCAAGAACATGAGAGGTCCTTCCATCTTCTAAGGACTTCTTCAATTTCTTTCTTTAGTATTCTATAGTTTTCATTGTAGGGGCCCTTCAACCTCTTTTGTTGATTCTCAGGTATTTTATTCTTTTTGAGGCTATTGTGAATGAGATACTTTTACTAATTAGTTTTTCAGCTTATTCATCATTGCAGTCTAGGCATGTGATTGATCCTGCTACTTTGCTGAATTAATTTACATGCTCTAGAAGTCTCCTTGTGGAGTATTTTTTGGAGTCTTCTAAATATAGGATCATGTTGTCAGCAAACAAGAGAGCATTTTCACCCTTCTTTTCCTATTTGTATACCTTCAATTTTCTTCTCTTACTGATTGCTCTGGCCAGAGTTTGAAGGACTTATGTTGAACAGGAGTGGTGAAAGTGGGCATCCTTATCTTGTTCCTGTTTTTAGAGGAAATGTTTTCAGATTTTCTCCATTCCGTATAATGTTGACCTTGCATTTGTCATATACAGCCTTTACAGTGTTGAGATAAGTTTCTTCTATCCTTAGTTTTTCTAGTGTTTTAAATATGAATGGGTGCTACACTTTGTAAAATGCTCTTTCTGCATCTGTTGAAATAGTCATATGATTTTTGTCCTTACATCTATTTCTGTGGTGAATTACATTTATTGATTTCCATGTTGAAACAACCTTGCATCCCTGGAGTGAAACCCACTTGCTCATGGTGCAGTATTTTTTTTTTAATATTTATTTTTTAGTTGTAGTTGGACACACTACCTTTATTTCACTTATTTATTTTTATGTGGTGCTGAGGATCAAACCCAGGGTCCCGCACATGTGAGACAAGCACTCTACCGCTGAGCTACAACCCCAGCCCCCCCAGCCCCAGTGCAGTATCTTTTAATGTGGAGGGTTTTGTTGGTTTGTCTGGTATGGGGTTTTTTTGTTTGTTTTGTTTTGGATTTTTTCTTTCTTTTTTATTTTTTGGCACTGAGGATTGAACTCAGGGGCATTTAACCACTGAGCCACATCCCCAGGCCTATTTGTATTTTATTTGGAGACAGGTTCTCACTGAGTTGCTTAGCACCTCCTTGTTGCAGAGGCTGGCTTTGAACTCGTGATCCTCCTGCCACAGCCTCCCGAATCACTGGGATTATAGGCGTGCGCCACTGAGCCCAGCTATTTGGTATCTTTCTATTCTTTTAATGTATGTACTTATGGCTGTGAACTTTTACTTTAGAACTGCCTTCATATTGTCCCAGAGATTTTGATGT